GTGAGTGGTTCTAATTGTATTCATTTTATTTTTAAACACAACAACTTATGAAAAAGGTCAAGCTGTTGTCCTCATTTAGTTTATCAACTGAGCTCTTCATTGAGACAGATCCTCACTTGTGAAGGCTCCTCTATGAGCAGCCTATTAGGATAAAAAACAACCAACATTCTAAATTATTTAAGGAATACTTTGGCAACCATTTTATTACTTAAAAAATATAAATTATTGTCCTTTCCTAGGTTATATGAGTTGAAACAATTTCCACAACACAAGTATCTTAAGTGTGTTCATATAGGCATTTACCCCACCGATTTTGGTGGTTTACCTTCCGGGTTAAAAAAAGTGTGTTCATATAGGCAACTAACTAACATATAGTATGAAGGACAAAAACACGATGAAAGAAGTTGGGGATTTCAATGAAAAGCTAAAAAGAAGCGGTGGCAAAGCACTGCAATGTGGTTATTAAGTTGCTTCTTATTTCTAAAGTGATTCTAAATTTCAAAATATAATTGACATTCATGTTTTGTTATGTAACCACAATACTTACTGGTGCTTGTAGTTTCTTTGTGTACATTACAGACCCTCATTTGGTTTTCATATACTAATTTTATGTTTTGTCGATGAATTTATAATCATATGCTAATTTAATGGAAATTGTACCATTTAGGGTAGTGTTTATTTTCATTAAAGTTCACAATCTTTTATAACATTTTGCGCGCTACTACACATTGCAAACATGTTTATTAGACAATCTATTAGATACATGATTTAGTCACTTGAAAGCCTTTCTCACAACCATCTCTTAGTGTACGCATCAAATATATGCAATTTTAGTACAAATCGATTGCCGTAATCAACATAATATGTTAATGATTAGGCATATGAATGGTATTGGGCATTATCCTAATCGCGCATCGCGCGACACAAACTAGTATAATTAAAAGTCTATAACCCATTGACAGTTGTATGTTGCGGTGTCAATTCAAGAATGACCAATCGTCGTGGTTTGAAAAATCTAATTTCCGATGAAGATGAAGGGACAATTAACAAGATTCAAAATGTTGTATTCAAAGAAGTGTTCAACAATGTATGGAGTTACATGAAATGAATTTTTACAATGTTATTGTATTTGTGATTTTTTTGGTGTTTTCCAGCTTTTAACTAATGTTTAGTACTCTAATCATAATGAAAATATTATGTGCATGTTTCTATTTTTTTTAACAATTATCTTTGTGTTGGTGTTTTCGATATATCAATATTGCTGCGAGATACATGTTGTCGTCAAAGAATTATGTAGATTGAATTGTTTGCCACAAAAAATTTAGAAAAAAAATGAACTACCGTGCAATGCACAGGTGTTCTACTAGTCTTTTATAACTTGTTTGTAAAGATAATAAATAATAAAAATAATTAAATGCTAACAAAATTAATAATTACATAAATTAATATTAATTAATGTGCACTACTTTTGAGCCACTCGTGTTTGTTAAGTTTTTCACCTAAATGTTCAAAAAACAGAGTTCCCTTTTTACAGTAAAGTGACTTATAATGCTAATCTTTTTAGAGACACATGTAAAAGTCCTAATTTATGTGTATATATATTACTACGTATTACATTTATACATACGCAATGCTACATTTCTAGAGAAACTACTTTTAGTTTTTTCACTAACTAGTAAGAAAGTGATTGTAATGTATTAAAACTAGTACTTCTTTCGTCTATTTTTAGTTGCAACAGTCAACATTTCACGTTTGCCAACGCACAACTTTGACCATCATTATATTTAATTCTGTATTAGTAAAAATAAAATAAAATAAAAATTATAAAACTTAGTAATGAGACGAATTTAACAATATTTTTCAAAAAAAATAAATCACATACATTAATAAATAAAATGTAGTCAAAGTAAAGTACATGAATAGTTTATATATTCCAATGTTGCAATTAATGTGATCAGACCTTTCTAAGTTTTGATTTTTATATAAAGGTCTTCATTTCTAAGTTTTGATTTTTTACATATATACTATTCCGTACACAATTGATTATATAAAGGTCTTCATTTCTAAGTTTTGATTTTTTTCCTTGAAATGATCAGACCTTTCTTTAAACTTCAAAGCAAATAATATTGTATTATTTATTCTTATTCATGCGTTCATTGTAGGGAAATGCTATTTTATTTAGATAGTAAACAAATATACTATGTTGATAATATTTTCTATTCAAAAGAGATATTTTTCTCTCAAAGTTTCCTCAAGGATAGATGGAGTTGACGTGAGAATTCTATCGGGTAAAGCCAATGATTAACCGGAGTTGGAGTATATTTCAATACAATTTCAATAAATCTAGTTATTATATTTGTATGAATTTATAAATTCTATACTTTTATTAGTGTAAGGTTATCAGATAATTTTTCCACATAGCTTTCATATTTTAAATAATTTGGCATGTATTAAGAAAGGATTTTTATCGATTAAGAATTTGAAAAATAGGTTCACTATTAGTAAGAGATTTGAATGATAAATGGTGTCTGTACAAGGCCCAAATGATTGAATATTATCAATCAAATGCAAAAATATGATAGATTTGGTTTATTTTGTTCATTTCATTGGTAATTTTTCATGACAATTTCTTTTCAAAAGTTTATTAGTTTAATAAGTTTAAATAATATTAAAATTGTTTAGAATAAAAAATTAAAATTTTGATACTTTAGATCTTAGATTGATAATTTTCAATCATGCAACTCTATATCAACTCTTGGTCTTATGGTTTCTTAATGATATTGAACATATCTTTCAAGTCCTGAACTAATAAAATTTCTAACAAATATCATAGGACAAATTTGACCATCATTGACTAAATATTTAATTACTCCGTATACAATTATCGTAGAGTCCTTTTATGCCTAGTACCTCGAATTCACCAAAGACGGCCTGATCGTGTTGCATCCAGAAGCTTCTCTTATTGGACCAGAAGATTGTTTACACAAACTTGTACAATTATATTAGGATAAACATCATATATACAAGTGATGTTATGAGTACCAGTCATGGACAAGCGTATTTGAATAGATCACATCATCACAATATATCTCACAACACATGTGCATAGTTTTCCAATTAAACAATTTCGGGGTGATAATATATACTACCTCTATCTCAAAATATTTTGTCATCTATAAAACTTTGATCAACTATATATTTTTATTGCAAACTATTTATAATATAAAAATGATATGAGAATGTTTTTAATGAAAGTACTTTAACAAAAGTATAGAATCTATAACTTTCAATCTTTCACTATATTATACTAATCAAATTATGGTCAAGACTTTACAAGATGACAAAACTTTTGGGGACAAAGATATTAGTCTTAGTATAAAATTGGATATTGGACACAGACTATAAAATATTGAATTAACCTAGGAAAAAACATTTGATTAAACCATGAATGACAAGTTATGATTACATTTTAGATAAAACACTTGATTAACTAATTATCACGCAACCAAATATTTATAAATGAATCAATTTAGTATGAGGAAAGAGCGACATGAACAATACTACTGAATTTTTGATAGAAAAAAGGACGAAGACCACATCATTGAGGTCTTCAGAATCAATCTTTGAGAGGACGTAGATTGAACTTTGATCACAAATTGGTGAAGAAAGAGTGATGTCACAACCCAAGTATTTGACAAATTAAACCGGATACTTTTTCTTGTGACACCCTCTTCGCATCAGCTAAGCTATGCTTGAAAACACTGAAAAAGTTGAAACAACCCTAATATAAACCCTGAAAAACTAATTCACCTCTACTCCAAATAATTCATCATACAAATGTTATTATATTATATAGCTATTGATTTTAAATTAAATTTAAATCAATTACTACCTTCGTCCCAAAAGATTTGACATATTGATTCTTCTTGGTCAATGTTGGTAAACTTTGGGCAATAATTTTAGTTATTCCGTATAATATTCATACATAATCTATATATTCATAATTTTATGATTTTCTTATTCAAAACAATTTCATATTACAAAATAACATTGATATAAAATGATTGCATAAAATAAGCCCGTTGGTAGCACCATCACCATCATATATACCACTATCCAATTATAATAGTGTTATATACGTACTGTATACTGGGGTTAGATTCTAGCGTTAAAACGGTGTCAGTCCGTATATCCTACACCCGGATGTATGTACATCCGGTCCAATTAAATAAAAAGCACATTAACTTTCAGCCTAATAAATTTAACTTCCGGCCCATGCTTCGCCTCCTTGTCATTGTGTGCCTGCAGCTACCGGCAACGCACTTCACCAGACAACCGCACTTTCTCATGAGTTTATCTTCATGTTCTTCTTTTTTTGTTATATTTATAATTCTTAATTTATATCTTCCATCGACTTACAAATTTCGAATGCATGATTTAATAAATTATCAATAAATATATCTATAAGAATTATAACAAATTCATCAACAATTTTATACTTCAGCAACTCCGTAATACGCTATTCAAGGCTTACTTTATTTTGTTAGTGTCGTAATGTTACATCAATGGACATTTATGTTAAACATTAAGCTCATTCTAGTATATAAAAAACTCATTTCAATAGTTCATACGTAATAGTGTTCATATTAAAATGTTATGACAGTTTTAGTGAGAATCAAGTATATCATATTGAACATTAGGAGCCTAACAATGAGCATCGTGATAACTGCTTCATATCTTTGAATTTCTTTTTCTTATTTTTTTATAAAAACTTATTAAATTATCTATACCAAATGAGAATAGGTAACTTACAAAAATGAACATTACACCAATATCAAATGAGTATATATACTTATTAAATGAGCATCAAATAATTGTAACGAACATTAATCATGATATCAGAAGCAACTTCAGATGCCTTCCCCTTTGTTGACTTAAAAATGAACATTACACCAATAGCATCAAATTTTAAATGAACATTAATCTCTGGTTTGGTTGTACTTGTACCCCAGACTTGACTTACAGCAACCAAAACCCTCCCACTCTGTGACCGGTGATTAATACAGACAGGAAGCATGTACGGCCTCTACCGCCGTATAAGTTCCCTTCTCTCCAGTCTCCGAAGTCTGAACGATAGGAGAAGATGATTGTGATGTTCATTCTCTACGCCACTGCTTAATCATGATATCAGAAGCAACTTCAGATGCCTTCCCCTTTGTTGTCAATTGTAATGCCTTCCCCAATTTGATTTCCAATTTGGTTTCTTGTTGGAAAATAATTGCTCTGGTTCTGCAATAAATTGCTTTAGTCTCAGTTTCCCCCTTTTCATTAACCAATATTCGTTAGGGGTTGAATCCATCGAATCAGTAAAAGTTATACACCGTTGTGCTTGCTGTTAGTATTGTTGTTGTTGTCCTTATTATTGTTATTTTTACTTTCATTGAGCTTTGAGGAGCTACCAGTATTCTATCTTTCTTCTATTGTTAGTTAAAACTAAACACCACACAATTTGAAAAAGAAAACTACATCAGAGGAAGAAATGTCAGTTCTGTGTGGTGCCCCACCAATTCTTGAGTGTGTGTACTGTGTCGCCTGTGCCCGTTGGGCCTGGAAGCGGTGCCTCCATAGTGCGGGCCATGAAAGTGAAACATGGACCCATGCCACATCAGATGAATTCGAACCCGTCCCTAGGCTTTGCAGGTACATATTAGCCGTGTATGAGGATGATATCAGAAATCCTCAATGGGAACCCCCTCGAGGCTATGGAATCAATCCGGATTGGGTGATTCGGAAAAGAACGTATGGGGATAATTGTGGCCGAGCGCCTCCTTATATTTTGTACCTCGATCATGATCATGAAGATATAGTCCTTGCTATAAGAGGCCTTAATTTGGCTAAGGAGAGTGACTATGCGGTTTTGTTGGACAACAAGCTGGGTAAGAAGTCATTTGAAGGTGGATATGTTCATAACGGTTTGTTGAAAGCAGCTGGGTGGGTTTTGAGTGCAGAAAATGAGATGTTGATGGACTTGGTTGAGAAATACCCGAGTTATACTCTGACTTTTACTGGACATTCTCTGGGGTCAGGTGTGGCGGCATTGTTGGCGATAGTGGTGGTCAGGAACCGTGATAGGTTGGGGAATATTGAGAAGAAAAGAGTCAGATGCTTTGCCATTGCTCCTACGAGATGTATGTCACTTAATCTTGCCGTGGGGTATTCAGATGTGATCAACTCTGTTGTGCTTCAGGTATGTATGCATGGATATTTTAAATGTGTGTATTTGCTTCACTGCTTGGTCTAAAATGTGGTTCAAAATTTTATTTACATCTTCATGTAAACAACTACTAGTACTAAACATTGTAAAAAGCTGTCAGTTCACTTGGTCTTATTTCAGTCAAATCGGACTAGACTTAAAAAGATGTTATCAGGCCACCACCATTAAATAATTATAAGATACAAATAATGTCAAACAAGATCGGATCAAAGTAGACCAAACACAAAATTAAGCTTGTTCATACCAGACTAAACCAGACTAGTATATTTTGTCCAAATGAACAAACCCCTAAGTCCTATTCGAGATTAGACAGGATCCAAAAGTTTCTTTGGGATGACTTAAAGAGATTTTAGAGTGACTAATTTCCTAGGAATAAGTGCTTTCTAGTGGAAGAAATGTTTGAGTTAATAAGAAGCGTTTGGCAGGAGAATGGGAATATTGCTACTACCTCCGCCCCCCTATTATTGTCCCATTGCTGTTTGCATCCTCCGCCCCCCTATTATTGTCCCATTGCTGTTTACGATGCTTGACCGACATTAAAGCAAACAGATTCCTTTCCGCACTCAAATTATTTTTAGAAAAAAATTACATATTCAGAAACTAAATTAAAAGCTTTACAAAGTCGCAAAAACCAGAATCAAATTTGATAAAAAAATTGATATATAAAGTAAGAGATTAAGAGTGATTTGTGTTGACCAAGTGAATAGGAACTGGGACGATAATACGGGGACAGAGGGAGTAAAAAATACTGCTAGTGTTTACTAAAGAAAGAAACATATTAGGGCTGGAAATGATTAAGTCACAACACTTTTTAAAGTCATGCTCCAAAATTGGGTAAAATGAAAGTCATGCGCCTACAGTGGGAATGACATAATAGTCGAGTCATGGTACCATAACTGAAGTGGAAAATTTCTGTACAATAACAAGGCATTACGATGGTTGTGAATGCTTTTATCATAACATAACATTGGTCTGACTGTAGAATACTCATTTCTCTCTTTTATTGCCACATTTTATTTATGTCCGATTTTCAGTACATTTTTTCTTGAGAAGTTGTCAACTTTTATCTTAATGTATAATCATAAAAACATCAGGATGGCTAAAGATCTAACAACATATTCACCGCTGAAACAGGATGATTTCTTACCTCGGACAGCAACCCCATTGGAAGACATCTTCAAGTCACTATTTTGGTAAACAAATGATTCTCGCGTTTGATAGTCCAAATAGTTCACCCTTTGTAAGTATTACAGAGTAAATTTTTCTCTCTGCGCGGACTTTTTTTACCTGATTTTTTTTTTCTTTCAGTTTGCCATGTTTACTATGTGCCCGGTGCTTGAGAGATACATGCATATCTGAAGAGAAGAAGCTTAAAGATGAAAGGAGACTGTATGCCCCTGGTCGACTCTATCACATTGTTGAGAGAAAACCTTTCAGGTATGCCTGGAGTATAACTATGGCTATGTATATGCTGAGAATAAGATTGAATCTAACTTACCTCAAGAGACATTTTAAGAGGTGCAGTTTGTTCACTTTTAAAAGGATTTATTTATTCATTCACATTTATGTGATTAACCCTCATCATTATCCTTCATGGAAAAACACTTCCTTCAGGTCCATACAATTTTCTTTCATGACTTTGATATCACAAGACTAGCTCTAAGTCATCCCTGGAAGAGCTTTCAAGTGAAACAACAGTTATTGATGCATAAACCTGTGCAAAAGGATTTCCAATCGATTAGATTGATTAACTCATGTCTCCTTTGGTGTGAAACTCTTAACAGTCTTACCTGTGCAAGACAAGAGCATTAGAATGACACAATATGTCTTCTGAAAATTGTTTGTGTTGAGTTGCATCATTTATTATTTCTTTAATGGTTAATCTTTATAACTAAAGACGTGCTCCTTCTGTCCCCAAAATAAGTTCTCATGTGATGTTTGACTTGTAACAAAGTTAACTCTTTGTGACCATATTCAAATTGGTATTAATAATTAAAATTTACATTATTTGGCATTACTTTAAAAGTTCTGGCAATCCACAAAATTTCAGATGGTTAAAGTTTGATATATAGAATGAGAGATTAAAATCGAGTTAAGTTGACTACCCGAATAGTGAACGAGAACTTACTTTTTGGATAGGAGGGTAGTATACTTTAAGCTTCCGATTGCTGCTGTAGTAACTCTCTATGAATGCAGGTGTGGCAGGTTTCCACCCACAGTGAGAACAGCAGTCCCTGTTGATGGGAGATTTGAACATATAGTCTTGTCGTGTAATGCAACTTCTGATCATGCCATTATTTGGATTGAGAGGGAAGCCCAAAGAGCACTGGATGTAAGTCCCTTGATCGGAAAGTTACTGAAATAAATGAAATGATTATTACATTGAACCCTGCCAACTAAATTATTCTGAAGCCAATCTTAAAGTTCTAATTAGTGGGAATCTGGAAAATACTATGGAGAGGGAAAACCGAAAAAGTGTTAAAGATTTTTCTTTCTTGTGTTTGGTTTAACATTGAAAATTCAAAGAAAAATAAAATTTGATAAATACTTCGGTTTTTGTTTTATTTCTCATCTTAATATAATAGAAATACTAAAATTAATAAAGTTGAACAAATGTATACAACAACCCCCCCTGCATTTTTCTCCATATTTTCTTTCCCTAGCATTTCCCAAGTTCCAAAGGGACCCTAGGTGGCTTAGGTGCATAGGTTATTTCTTGCTTAGTCCCTGCATAATATTAGTCCCCAATTCAACACTACAAGACTAATGCTTTATATGACATTTTGTCTTGAGAACATCAGCTTCTTTGTTACTGGTAATACAGTTAATGAAAGAAAAGGAGGGGATGATGGAGATTCCGGCAACACAGAAGATGGAGAGGCAACAATCACTGGCTAAAGAGCACAGTGACGAGTATAAGGCTGCCCTAAAGAGGGCGGTCACGTTGGAAGTCCCTCATGCCTTTTCACCCTCTGAGTATGGAACTTTTGATGATGACATCAAATACTCTTCTTCAGCGGAAACATCAAAGAAAAGCAATTGGGGCAGGGAAACCTGGGATGAAGTGATAGATCGTCTGTTTGTCAAGGACGAAGCAGGTCACATCATCTTGAAGAAGCCCCTTGTTAAATAATTGGTAATTATTTGTTTGTTGTATATAGTGTGAAACTCTGAGATGAGTGTGATTCTTTAATTCTTGTATTCATTGTTCCAAAAGGTGGAATCTCCCACCCCAGGAGCCCCCGACCCGACAGGATGGTGGGGAGGTTAGTCACGGTGACTCAGTCAGCAGAATGACAGTAAGCCCATACACCCGTGCGCACCAGAGGCCCAGCCTTATTTCAGGTTCCGTGACCTCCCATCGGTCGCTGCGGGGATTCGAACCTTGGTCCATTGTTCCAAATCTCCCACCACTCGACCAACTGAGCTACTCGTGCGGGTTGTATTCAAGAATGGTTAGATGGCTTCATGGCTCCTTCACCATTGCCTGCAAAATTTGTAAACTTATCCATCTAATAAGTGGGATGATATCAACACCAAGCCTAATTAATTAGATAAAATAAAGGCTTGTTTCTGTAAAAGATGCAGCATTAAAAAAAATCAAAGAATACAATATATCACATTTTTCTCATATATAATCACTCTATATTTTCTCTAATGTCACGACATGTTTTCAGCTATAATTGGCTAAAAATTTGTCTGAATTCATCCTTCTCCTGTAGATATGATCATTATTTATTCTCTTCAACAATGTTTAAGTAAATAAATGCATTTCCAACCAAACGTATGAGAATTGAGAAGCATGCTGTGCAGCTGTGGTCGCTCAAATTTCCAAATTGAAAAACTCAGACTTATCTTTCAAGTTAAAAAAGAAAGCAGATGATGTACTTAAATCAAAGGTGATATCGAGGGGTGTGAATCAAAATTCAAAAGGCTAAAAGCTACTCTTAAGACTTAAACCATGCTCAAAATAAACCATACTCAAAGTTGGTAATATTAGTTTACGTTTGGAAGATAAGGTGGTGAGTGTTTTCTTGGATGTAAAAAAGAAACATTGTTGGTTGTCTTTTTTCTTCATGTAGAGGAAAACACTGACAATGAGATAAATCATAAATGGAGTCATAAAGTTATCATATACGAAGTATATAAATTCATATATCAAAGCCAGAATATATACATATTTCTCTCTTAGACAATTTCTCTGTATTCTTCCTCTTACATTTTAGGGTAAATAATTTGGAATAATATCACCTATGACACATTGACCAATAATAATACGTACTCCCTTGGTCCCTTCGTCCCATAAAATTTTTCCCGATTTGACGTGTATCAGAGTTTAAGAAAGTGAGAATAAAGTGTAAATGTATAGTTGTAGTTGAATAAGAAAAAAATAAAGAATGTTAGTCATATATACTAATCTTTCTAAAAAGGGAAATATGAAGAATTTTTTGGGACATCCTAACAAGGTAAGTAAAAAGAATATTATGGGAAGGACAGAAGGAAGAAATATTTTGATACAAAAAGTTATTATCAAAATATGAAACAAGTGACCTCATTTTGAAATAACCATAATTTGGTTGTTTGATACTGTTATTAGTTTAGAAATTACTTCAAATAGGACTAAAACAATGGCAAAAACTCAAAACAGGACTTGCTATGTTTTTATTCCAAAATAGGACCATATGAGCCCTATTGGAAACATACCTATGTTTACCTTCCATTCTTACCCTTTCATTAAATATGAGTTAAAAATAGTCAAAAGCCATAATTAAATGTTTAATTCATAATAAATTCTAAAAAAATTCAAAAATTCGTAGAAAAATAATTAAAAAATTTACAAAATATTTATAAAATAAAAAATTCAAAACACATTTTTTTAATAATTTTTTTTTTAAAATAATAATAAATAGTAAAACTCCATAAAAAAATTAAAAAAAATATGGATGCCTTTCCCACCACCTGTACTACCTCCCTGCACCGCCACTTCCGGCCAGTGAAAAAAATGTCATTTTTCCTAAAAACTGCCATTTTTTTCTGAAAATGTCAAAAAAGTGACACATTTCTCTTTGCGAATGCCAACATTTTCATTGTTTTCTGCCATAAATATGACATTCGTAATGAACTTGGCATTTTTTCCCCTGGTGACTGGAGGTGGTGGTGCAGAGGCGGCAGAGGTGACGGTGAATTTCATTTTATTTTTTTGATTTTTTTTTAATTTTTTTTAATTTTTTGAAATAAATAAATAAATTAATTATTATTATCGAAATATTTTTATTAGTTTGTTAGTATTTTTTACGAATTTTTATTATTTTTTATTATTTTATTATGAATTAAAACATTTCAATAGCTAGAATGGTATATTTATCCAAGATACACATAATTAGTCCTATGAAAACATAGTTTAGTTTTTTGTCCTATTTGTGCAAAGTGAGTCACTTTTAGTCCTATTTTGATAATTAACCCTTATTAGTTTGTATGCCTTAAATGGTTGATTTTGTAGTGGAAAATATCTCTATCATTTTTTGTTATGTATTCCAAAAGTCAGTTTTATTAAAAACCATTTTTAAAGTACAATGCAACCATCAATTTATTGATTTATGGGTGATAACTGATTCCCCTTACACCTGCAACTATCAATTTATTGATTTATGGGTGATAAATGATTCCCCTTACACTTATTGGACATCGTCAACTTTTATTTGCGTGTGAAGAATTGAGACAATGAGGAAACATGATATAATTTTTGGAAGTGTTTCCAAACAAGGTAAAATAGTGTTTTGTACCTTCAATTCTGACACTTGATTATTTATATACCTCCTCCGTCCCTGAAAATACTTCTAACTTTCCCTTTTCGTTCGTCCCAAAAAAAATTTCCCTTTCTTTTTTTGGAAAAGAATTTGTGGTTAACAACATTTCTCTATCCTCTGCACAATTCTCCACCACACAATTCTCACTTTCTTAATCCGCGTGCCACTTTATTTTGGAAGTAAATTATGGGACAGAGGTAGTAACAACTTTCCTCTCATTGACCGCATACATTACCCAAACTAAAAATAATGTATCTTTCAATCTCCCAAAATTAATTATGTAATGCTTTTTTACGTGTAGGGCAATATTTGTAAAATGATAAAATAAAAATGTCATTATTTGTGGTGCATACTTCTTTTTTTAGGAATGGTGGGTACTACTTAGTTTTTTTGTACAAACTAGATTTATGTCCGAAATATGGAAATAAACCCTCCAACTAATCGAAAAAGTTTGAATCACCCTTTTTATAGCACTCTCTGTCCGGCCATTTGATGATTTTTTTAACATCTTCTTCATTAAGTCTAGTTTACTTATACCAAATTTCAGCAAAAAATTCAACCGAGAAGGCAGTAAAATGATTTTCTGAAATATATTGCGTTATTTAACTGCGCAGTTATCTTCAAACATTTATTTGACTGCCTTCCCGGTTGCATTTTTAGCTGAAATTTGTTATGGGTAAACTAGACTTAATGAAGAAGATGCTAAAAAAACATCATAAAAAATTCCACTGGGAAACGCCCCAAATGGAGACGGCCGGACAGACCCTCCTATAAAAAGGATGATTTGCACTTCTTCGATTAGTTCGAAAACTTATTTGCCCCTTTTCCCTTTTCCCTTATTTGCCCATGTATACACTCAAACAGAAACGATAATACAAGTATCAAACTAAAGGTAAAAATAAAGATATCACCTTTTTAGTTTTTACACAAAAGCCAAAGGGGGAGGCAAATCTTTCTATGTATAGCGTTAGGGGTGTTCGTCGGTTCGTTTGGTCGGTTTTTGATTTCGTCGGTTCGATTTGGTCGGTTTCGGTTTTAGAAAAGGTGAAACCGTAAATCGAATCGCGCTACTTGAGTCGGTTTCGATTCGGTTTCAATTTGGTTAATTTCAGTCATGTCGTGTCGATTTCGGTCGGTTTTAGCATGTTTTTGTCGGTTTTTTTCGGTCGGTTTCGGTTCTGTCGATTTTTTAACCCAAAAGGTGAAACTGTATACCGAACCACCAATGATTAATCGGGTTGAGTCGATTTCGGTTTGGTCGGTTTGTCGTCAATTTCGGTTTTTCGATATTTTTGTTCAACCATATATAGCGTGGTATCTAAATTTCTGAATTTCAAATGACCCCTCAAGTATCTTCAGATTGCAATTCCAACCTAAGATTAGGGATGGACTAAACCGGCCCGTCCCGTTACTGTTTGGGCCCGGATCGGACCGGGCCCGGTTGGCCGGTTCCGGGCTTTTAGCCCGTTTGGGCGGGTCGCTCGGGCCGGGCTCGGGCCCAACTTTTGGTGAACCGGGCCGGGCGGTTCGGACCGGGCCCGGTTCATTTTTTTTTTCAATTTTTTTGCTTTTCTAGGTTAGGGTTGGGTGTTTGGGGGGGGGTTTGGGGGGTGGGGGTGAAGGGGGGGGGGGGTCGGGTGTTAATTAGAAACCAAAAAAAAAATTGAACTTGACCCTGGCCCGGCCCGGCCCGGTTAGGACCGGACCCGGTATCAACCCGGACCGATTCCGTGCCCAACATTTTGCAAAAAAAGCCCGCCCGGGCCCGGCCCGGAACCGGCACGGAACGGGACCGGCCCGGGTCCATCCCTACCTAAGATTTGGGCTTGTAAATTCAGACAAGTGGACAACCTCGAACAGATTGTCTTCCTTGACAAAGCTTTATAATTTGCATTTCTATTGGCCGTCAGTTTGGCTAACGATGGTGCGTCTTCTCCCAGCTCTGATTCTCGCCGCTCTTGCGAGTAACTTGGATGTGATTTTTCTCGAAAGGTAAACTATGCTATCTTGCATTTTAGCTTGCGGGACTGGTGTATGCTTTTCTTACGGATTTTATTATTATTATTATTATTCCATCATAGCATTTAGCTGTATATACTTAAATTCCTACAAGTATCTTGATTTTCTTAATTTCAGAGTATGTTATCTTTATCAATCCAATCGAGTGTTTCTATTCAATGCTGTGAACATATTTGGTTTTAGACAGGATATGAACCCTTGATTAGAAAATCTCGTTATAAGAGTTCCTCCATATATAGACATATAGAGCATTAAGCTGATAATATTATGAGCATTGATAGTGAATCTTGCTATCCCATTCACCCATTAAAATTGGATGGGATTACACTGCACATTTGTATGCTGATAGGGAGAATGTGATAGACCACTGAAGACTTATTCCCGCAGGAAGAAACTGCTCCTGGGAAGCAGTTTATATTATTTTTCAGTCATTAGTGGAGGTGGTTATGGGCATAACCTGTAACCCACTACTCTATTGTTTTATAGTTATTATAAATAATTAAATACTTCCTTTCAGAATTTATAAGCATTATCATATTGTAAGGAGCCTTGTCCTCTCCACACGGACTAAAACATTTGGGAAATTTATTCAGATTCTGTGAATTTCTCAACCATCCTTCTCTATCCCTCTTTAATCTCGACTGGTCTTATCATTTTGGTATCAGAGAGGTTAGATCCTAATGGTTTCCACCAGGTCGCAGGCGGATCAACACAACCAATCAGCAAATTCCCCTGTTGAACCCAACCTCGATGTGATTCAACAGTTAACTTCGATTGCTTCACGATTGCAAACTCTTGACGCCTTAGCAGCTGATGTGGCAGCTCTCAAATCCCAACGTAGTGACAGCCAGCCTGGAGGGTCGGGCAGAAGCAAGGAGAAAGAAAGTCACGCAGGATTCCATGAGAGAACAGAGTGCCGTGGGGGGATATCGCAGATGAAGAGATGCAGCCGGGGTGGCCACAAAACTTCACGCGCAGACCCTATGCGAAGGTGGATTTTCCAAAATTTGATGGTGGCGACCCGCGAGGTTGGATCCTCAAAGCGGAAAAATACTTCCGTTATTATCAGGTGCCGGACAATAAAAAAGTCGAAATCGCTTCCATGTCTTTGGAGGGCGAAGCTCTTGACGTGTTCGCATGGATGAACGGTGAGGAATCCATACTATATTGGGAAGAATTGGTGAAATTATTGCAAGAAAATTTTGGGCCAGCAGAATTCTAGAACCCAGATGAATATTTGTGCAATATCAGACAATCGGGTTCCATCCAAGAATACAGGCAAGAGTTTTCACGAAGGGTGTCCAGGGTCCACGATTGGCCTGAACACTGCCTTCTTGGGGTTTTTTTATTAACGGCCTGAAAGAAGACCTAAAAGCAGATGTCAGGATTCATAAGCCCAGGGCTGTCTATCAGGCCATGAGTCTCGCACTACAGTTTGAATCCAAACTCGGCCCAAATAAAGGTCCAAGCAAACCACCTTACCTCTCAAACAACAGGCCAGGTCAATCCACACCTCTGACTCAGCATCGTGACACCAAAGCAGCGACACTTTCGCCACAAGGAGGTTATACTACAACAGCTGGCCACAGTGCGACAGCTGCCCCGGTAACGGCAGACTGATCTTGGGAATCAGAACGACAACTCCGACGCGACAAGGGGCTCTGTTTTCGGTGTAACGAAAAATTTGGCCCCGGGCATAGATGCAAGACTCCTACCTTTTCTCTCTTGGAGCTCGCGGACAGCAGGGAGGAGGTGAATCAGGAAGAAGAGGTTGGCAGTGAACTGAGTGGAGAAGAGAACCTGCATGACATGGCCGAAATATCTTTCCATGCTATTCTTGGAAAGTCGACAGGCGCCACCATGAAACTTCGGGGATCCCTCTTAAACAGGCAAGTCCTAATCCTCATTGATAGTGGTTCTACACATAATTTCATCTCAACATCACTGGTTGAGGAATTGATGATCAAAGAAGAGGGGGTTTCGACTTTCGGCGTTGAGATCGGGAATGGAGATGTAATCAGGTGCAATAAAATCTGCCGTGATGTTTCGGTTACCTTACCGGGACTGAAGATTACGCAAGATTATTTCCCTTTCTCACTCGGAGGAGCGGATGTTGTGTTGGGGATAAAGTGGTTGGCTTCACTGAATACTGTGCAGGCCAATTGGAAGGAGATGTTTATGATTTTCTACCTAAATGGGAAGAGGTACAAACTGCAAGGGATTCCCTCTACCAGCAAACAAGAGGTATCACTCCAAATTCTCTCCAGGGTACAAATGGATTCTGGAAACACATCTGCCCCAACCCAGGTTCAGTCCCTTTTATCCGAATTTCAAGACATTTTTTCCCATGTTACCACTTTACCACCTTTTCGCACCCAAATTCATTCCATTCATCTATATCCAAATTCTGTTCCCCCAAATATTAGACCATACCGATACACTTCTGACCAGAAAACAGAGATTGATAACCATGTAGAGACCTTACTGGCCACAGGGTTCATTCAGCCCAACACCAGCCCTTTTGCTAGCCCGGCAATACTAGCATCTAAGAAAGATGGCACTACACGGTTCTGTGTGGATTACAGAAACATGAACCAACAAACTGTCCCAACTAAGTATCCCATTCCCAATATTGATGACCTCTTGGATGAACTTCACGGGGCCACCGTATTCTCGAAAATTGACTTGAAGTCTGGTTATTTCCAAACAAGAATGAACCCAGTTGACATCCCCAAAATTGCTTTTAGAACCCACTCCGGGCACTATGAATTCCTTGTCATGCCCTTTGGGCTGATGAATGCCCCTTCTACCTTTCAATCCACTATGAACGACCTTTTTCGTCCTTATATTCGAAAATTTGTCCTGGTGTTCTTTGATGATATCTTGGTATACAGCAAAAACCTTGCGGACCACTTATGTCATTTACGGATTGTTTTTGATCTCTTACGAGTTCATCAATTTTATGCCAATGCGAAGAAGTGTTCTTTTGGCCAGCAGCGTATTCTGTACTTGGGGCATATAGTGTCCAGTGATGGAGTCGATATGGAGACAAAGAAGGTCCAAGCTGTTCTGAATTGGCAGGTTCCTCGGAATGTCAAAGAGTTGAGAGGCTTTCTGGGGCTGACAGGGTACTACCGCCGCTTTGTCAAAGATTATGGGATACTTGCCAAGCCACTCACTGAACTTACAAAAAAATGCTTTCCTTTGGAGTCCAATGGCAGAAAGAGCATTTCAGAGCTTAAAAATGGCATTAACTTCTGCTCCTGTTTTGAAGGTACCTGACTTCACCTTACCCTTTACAGTGGAATGTGATGCGTCAACCACAGGGGTTGGAGCTATTTTGCTCCAGTCAGATCACCCGATCTCTTATTTTAGTAAGGGATTTTCTTCTTCTAATCGTTTGAAGTCCACCTATGACCGGGAATTAGTTGCTGTTGTTTTAGCCTTACAGAAATGGAAGCATTATTTGCTAGGTCGACATTTCTTTGTCAAAACTGATCACTGCAGTCTTAAGTTTTTGTTGGATCAACGTCTGACATCGGATTCCCAACAGCGTCTGCTCATAAAGCTGCTTCCCTTCAATTTCACTATCATCTACAAGAAGGGGAAGGACAATCAGGGAGCGGATGCCTTGTCACGGAAAGCACACCATGCTGAATTGCTTACTCTGGCATTACCCGTGAACATGGACTTGATGACTCTACATGATGAACTGCTTCAAGATCCGGCTACTAAAGATATTATCTCATCAATGCAACAGGATCCTACTATTTGCCCTGATTATTCCTTGGTGGAAGGGAGACTATTCTACAAGGGGCGGTTGGTAATCCCGGGAACGTCATCACTTCGCTAGAAAATTCTAGCCGAGTGTCATGATACCCTCACTGGTGGACATGGTGGTTTCCTGAAAACATTGAAGTGTGCATCTGAGAGTTTTTTCTGGCCCAGTTTGAAGCAAGATGTCAAACACTACGTTCAGAACTGTTTGGTATGTCAACGAAATAAGTATGAGACACTGGCACCAGCAGGTCTACTCCAGCCGATCCCACTTCCAGATCGTGTTTGGAGGACATATCACTTGATTTTATCACTGGGTTACCAAAATCGGGGGGTTTTGACACAATTTTAGTAGTGGTGGACAGATTCAGCAAATATTGCCACTTTGTGCCATTGTCTCATCCATTTACAGCTAAATCTGTGGCTACCTCTTTTTGCAGGGAAATTGTACGTCTACATGGGCTTCCACGCTCTATTATCTCTGACAGGGATCCTGTTTTTCTGAGTCATTTTTGGCAAACAATGCTGATCTAGAGGAACAACTACTGTCTCGTGATGCTATGCTAAAACTCCTTCGGGAAAATCTCCAAAAAGCTCAATGCCGGATGAAGGCTCAAGCTGACTCTAAACGACGGGAGCTGTCTTTTGAGGTAGGAGATGCTGTCTTCCTCCGGATTCAACCTTTTCATCAACGTTCTTTGTCCAAGCGACGGTTTGAAAAACTGTCTCCTCGTTTCTTTGGCCCATATTCGGTTGTTCGCCGCATTGGTCCAGTTGCTCACGAATTGGCTCTACCTGAAGATTGCAAAATCCATCCCATCTTTCATGTATCTTTGTTACGCCCCGCGTATGGACAGTCCCCTTCGGTTCCACCCGCATCCCTTCCTATATCTACTGACTGGGAGTATGTGTTACAGCCGGAAAAGGTGCTCTCTCACAGATGGGTTTCTGGTTCTAATTTAGAGTTGTTGGTGCAATGGGCAGGCCGGCCTCTTGAAGAAGCAACGTGGGAAGACTATGACTTACTCACCGGGCAGTTCCCTTCTTTCCACCTCGAGGACAAGGTGACTTTTCAGGGAGGAGTACTGATAGACCACTGAAGACTTATTCCCGCAGGAAGAAACTGCTCATGGGAAGCAGTTGACATTGTGGCTATTTTTCAGTCATTAGTGGAGGTGGTTATGGGCATAACCTGTAACCCACTACTCTATTGCTTTATAGTTATTATTATAAATACTTCCTGTTAGCTACGTACTAGATAGTTCAGAATTTATAAGCATTATCATATTGCTATGTTATTTACTCGCTACTCGGTAGCAACTCGGTCAAGGGCCAAGTAGCAAGTAGGACCGATTACTCGGTGATTACTCGGCCTTGTATTAATTAAATATAATAATATAGGTGCCCTATATTACAGAAATATAGTAGTCTTAAAATAGTCTTTAAATTGTCTTAAAATGCATAGAAGTGAATAAAAGGATAGAAATCCTATTATCCTAATGATGGAGTAGCAAAAGTCATAAAACGAAAGTGATAAAGCAGTCAATCATCTAATAAAACCAGATTAGATGTGTATTTTTCATGGAGACTATAATAGTATGCACCTTGAAACTTAGTACATAAAACCAGATTAAAAAAAGAACAGGTTTGACTGCCTAATAATGAACGAGAAAAATAATTTGGAATAGGATATAGTATCTCAACTAGATAGAAATGTCACACCATTCAGCTTAGCAACTCCAAACAAAATTGTACATCAAAATAGCTTACATTCTGTGGGAAAAAAATTGTAGCTAAAGCTTCCTAAGTGTATAAATTATAGTAAGCTTAAAACATACAACATGTCAGCATGTTTTGGATTGTAGAGACATTGTAAGAGCTTGTTAATAAAATGATACACTTTTGGTTACTACTACTAGAACAAGAAACGAGACAGCGACAGGGGAGGGGAATATACGAAGCTCCAAACACAGACACTGCCAACTTGCCAAGGAAAAATTAATATAAAAATCAATGCTTAATACATAGAATAAAAGGAACTTAATGCCTCAGTAACATAATAACTAAGGAACTTAGTAGCAGGGAATTCAATGGTCAACAATTTCGGCTGCAGCCGTTTGAATAATCCCAATTTAATTTTTTTAACAAGAGGAAGAAGAAACGAGGGAACAAATTACCTGTAGCACCTCGCAGCAACCCTGTAACACTCGCAGGTGACTCCCAGCAGCACTGTAGATTCGTAGAACTGGCAGCTTCTAGTAGTCGCAGCTCCAAACAATGAAGCAGCACTGGTCGAAGCCTCAAAAGATGACTGACACAGCCAGTCGCAGCTCCTAAGGATGTAGCAGCACTGGTCGAAGCCCCAAAATATGACTGCTTAAAATAGTTTTAGGTTTTGAGCGCAGTTTTTTTAATACACCGAGTAGTAGCGAGTAACTCGCCCATTTGACCAACTCACTGAGTTGACTAACTCGCCGAGTACTCGGCGAGTAACTCGGATAATTAACTCGGGCCGAGTAAAGGTGCTACTCTGCAAGGTAGGAGGCCAAGTAGGGAGTACTCGCCGAGTACTCGCCGAGTACTCGCCGATTAAATAACCCAGTCATATTGTAAGGAGCCTTGTCCTCTCCACACGGACTAAAACATTTGGGAAATTTATTCAGATTCTGTGAATTTCTCAACCATCCTTCTCTATCCCTCCACAAATGACATTGTGGCTATTTCTTTGTCACATGTTTTGGCAATACCAGACTTCAAACATGTCAGTATTTTCTAAACATGGCAGTAATTAGTCCTATTTGGGGAATAAAAAACATGACAGTCCTATTTTGGAATTTTGAAACTGTTTTAGTCCTATTTCGGGAATTTTCCCTTCTTTCTTTATATTCCAATTTAATATCTTTATAATTTTATATTTGATCAGTCAGATGACTTACGCTGCAAAATGACAACTTATTGAAGTATAAGTATATAAATTCTGTGAGCTTTCTTAGTCTTAGTTAAATCGATTCATCGCTTGTGCTTAATTGGCTCAGATATTATTGAGACTTACCACTATATCATTTTCCAAACTTTACATGAATGGCTAATGTAAACTATATTATAATATGCACAAACGAGCTGCTGTCATCGATGACATGTGTTATGTTGTCATCAGTCGAGGTGATCTTACCCGGACAGTTTGATGAAGGAGTTCCATGAATGACAACAAATTCGGCAATGCCACCTCAGCGGATGACAGCATAAAACATGATATCAATGCTAACAGATCATTTCTTAACACTAACGTCATTGTTTTTTAACTCGAGAAATTTGGATGGAACAGTCGAAAGGAGTTAAGAATCAAGCAGGTCATCCAAGACAAAGACGTGAAGCTTGGTCAGCGAATGAAGTCAACTATGCCTGATCCGACTCAAGTCATTCAACTATCATGGCAGCCAAGGTCAGGTACTCTTGTAGATCTTTAATTTTGTTGTACACTTATACTGTTTAAACTTGGAAATGTTATAGAAAAAATCCCTCCCAGAACTATTACATAATTTCCTCTTTAATTTTAGTCATCAACATTCATTTTTTCCCGCTTTTGATGCATGACTATTGATTCCTTGGCACTCTTGGCCCTTCCGACCTTTCACCAGGCTTACTTTACTTACAATTCCCGATTGACTTTTGCCCCATAATTGGATGGAAAGGACCAAAAGTAGGAAGAAATTCATACTTGTACACCACAAGTACAGAAGTTGAAAGTCAGCGACTAAATGTTGGAATGCCCTAATTAATAATCTAGGAAAAAGCGGAAGATTTTCTATGCTCTTAAAATACAAGAATGCTGCGTTTGCACAAAGTCTTGACTCCATCATTGCTAAGTGTCTGGAAAAACAAGACAATTATCCAACCTCAATTTTGTGATTTATTATGTTCAAATTCTATATATATAATAAATTCCCTTTGTTGCCACAAAAACTGGTTGTGTAAACATTTGATTTCTTTTCATGTATAGGGTCTTTTTATACAAAGATTTCCTATCAGAGGAAGAATGTGATCACTTAATGGATCTGGTAAGTCTGTATTATACTCCCTTAGTTTCTTCTCTTTGCATCATTTTCTTTGTTTATTTCATTATGTGAACAGAGCAGTTCATATGCACATACTACAAGTCTGCAACATAAACTGGATTACTGTTGTAGGTTCATGCCAAGCATAACAGTAATGTGGAGAAGGTGACAACTGGTGTGGTTTTTTTACTTTGAACATATATAAAGCTCCTTATTTCCATCATTTTAATATCGTGGAATGACCGAACAAGCAGTTGTAAGTACTTTAAATAAGGAATGTAGGTTGTTTGTTTGTTTGGATCTAGGATGAAATTGTTGCTGGGATCGAAGAAAGAATTTCAGCTTGGACCTTTTTGCCCAAAGGTATATATAGTCTGTTATCATTTTCTACATTTCCTTTGAAAGTCAACAACTCTACATGGTTTACTTTCAAACCCATCTGTCTTCTTTCAAATGGTGAGCTGTTTTTTTCCCTTCATTTCCCAGAGAACGGCAAGTCCTTAAAGGTTTTGCATAATGAATTCGAAGATCCTGAGAAAAAGTACAGTTATTTTGATAATAATTCCACTGAAGTGAAAGATGCACCTCTAATGGCCACCGTCATTTTATACCTCTCCAACATCACTGCTGGCGGGCACATCCTTTTCACCGAATCAAGGGTACGACATATACCAACACAGCTACTGTTACTCTAATTTGCTTATAAGTTACTCCCTCCGTCCCGCTAAGATTGTCCCATTTTACTTTTTCGGGAAATCCCACTAAGATTGTCTCATACTCCTCTGGTCCCAAATGAAATTCACACTTTCCTTTTTGTGTAGGTCCAAAATAAACTTCACACTTCTTCTCCCTTCCTTATTTGGCAAATTATCTACATCAAAACAGTGCAAAACAGTGTCAAACAGTGCCAAACAGTGCCAAACAGTGTCACAACAGTGTACTCTACAGTAAAGTCAAATTTATTTCCTTAAATTTAGTGTGAATTTAGTAAAGTTTGTGTGGGTCTAAATTTCACAACAGTGTCACAACAGTGTACTCTACAGTACAGCAAAGTGTGAATTTCATTTGGGACCGGAGGGAGTATCAAATTTAGTAAAGTTTGTGTGGGTCTAAATTATTCTTACTTTATTCTTACTTTATCAATTCAATATCAACCACATAAACCCACTTTTCTTAATAACCGTGCCACATCCTCTTATACCAGTGTTAGTGGGACGGAGGTAGTATAACCAATTAACCACATGAGCTAAACCTCACCTCTTGGGATCTTGTTTGAAACTCGGAAAATAACAATGAAAACAGAGTAAAATTAAAAGGAAAGAAAATGTGGTGGCGGTGGGGGTAGGTTAATCTCAGTAAATTACTAAATTTATAAGAGAAAATTTGCACAACAGGAGTAAAACATATCTAAAATATAAAAATAGGAATCGATGTTTAAAATTCCCTAAATAGGAGTAATAATTTGTGATCGGACATTCGGACAAAAACACCCTACAAGGTTTGAAGCTAGTAACAACAGCCACTGCCGCCAGCCGATTACCACCGCCACCGGTCTCTGGATTTCCGCTGCCGGTCAGTAGACCTTCGCTGGGCCGCAGCCAATGGCAGCCACCACCCTAAACTCTAACCCTACGCACTAAACACTGGGGTATTTTTGACCACAAACAATAATATATTACTCTTATTTAGGGAAATTAAGATATGAACTCCTATTTTTGCACTTTCCTTATACTTTACTCCTATTTTATTGGTCCTCATTTTATTTATTGTATGCAGACCAAAAAATGTAAATTTGTAAACTTTTGTTAACAATGATGATATTATATTTCGTTTTCCAAGGTAGCCAAACGTTATAAAATAACTTATTCATTTGCCTTCCCCAAGCATTGTCTATAATCCAAAGACATTATTGAGGATCCTTCTGGGGTGAGTTTGTCTCCATTTAATAGCCTAAAACTCTTGTTTGCAGAGCAAGGTATGGTCCAAATCCAATTGCAGGGAGAGTAGTAACTCCGTCAGACCTACTAAAGGAAATGCACTGTTATTTTTTAATGTCAATCTTAACGTGACTCCGGACTACACTAGTACTCATGTCAGATGTGCTGTCGTTGAGGGTGAAATGGCGTACGCTATAAAGTTGTTCTATCCCACAGCTGTTACTAGAGAAAAAGAGGATCCAATTGGGATCACCTCTACCGCTTGCATGGATGAAGATGATAGTTGCCCTCGCTGGGCTGACATTGGGGAGTGTGATAGAAATCCTGTTTTCATGGTTGGTTCTCCTGATTACTATGGTACGTGTCGAAAAAGTTGCAATGCATGCTAATAGGGTGGTCTCTAATTGTAATGTGTTCTGTGTTGCTACTAATACTCATTTGTTTATGCTTTCATGATGCCACTTCTTACATAGGAAAGAATCAAAACCCATTTTGTACATATGTATAGCTGTTATTCATGTATGTATTTCAATTGTACTTTTTATTATTGCATTGAAGTACCAGAAAGTTTTAGGTGAAGTGAAAACATCTACAGCTAAGCGTCATCCTACTTTCGTTTAGTAAAATGATTTTGAACTGCACTAGAACAAATTAAACTGGATTGAACCGTACTAAAACAAACTAAACAGAAGGAACACATTAAAACCCTAATTAAAATCTAACACTCAACCCAAATTGAATTGCACTGAATTAAAGGCAGTTTGGATTTAATGCGGATGTGATACTGATACCCCTACTTTGCTTAAAATTTGTACCAAGCCCTAAAAAATTGAATTGCCTAGCTTCGGCAAAAAGTACAGAGAATGGTTTAACAAAGGGGTTAGAAGTTGGAACTACTGACCAAAAAAAGATTTGAACACCAAACCTAATAGTCCTCACATGATATGCCTCTACAGTGTTGGAACAAATTAATTATGAATAAAATATAATGATGGTGTACATTCTCCATTACTTGTTTTATTGAAATCATGCAATGTTTAGCCCCACATGTAATGAAAAGCCACCATACTCATGCTTTGTATAATCATAATTTTTGGCCATTTAAACTCGACATTATATGCATAAATAACTCATGATGTTGTTAACCAATTCTCAGAGTAACAAGTTAATATTATAAAGTAATTGTGATTGAAAAAACATTGTTAACTCATAAGCAGACAAGACGCTATCATTAAGATGTAAACTGACTATTAAGGATATGAATAAGAAGTATATACACATTTAACTTAACTTTTTCCATTTTATTTTTTGATAAATTTTGGAAAATGTGTTTGAAATTACATTACTATTTTTTGGCAAATGAAATTGCATTTGCTATTATTTTCTATTATTACTGGTTACTACTATTTTTGTTTTTAATAGACACGTCTACGCGTGGACACACATATGCATTCGTTTATTTGTGGTATTAATTAATATTTCAAATACGACTATTTTTACTAGTTTTTAAAATAATGTTATGAAATAGCAACAATGATTGTAATGATATTCCTTATTATTATGCTTGTTATACAAGGCTTTTATTAAATTCTCAGAATATGTGAGCATACAAGTATACAACTAGACAAATAATTAAGATCCCATCACAAGTCTTAAGATTAGATATAGAGCCGATATACCATGAAAAAACAACTTGATTTGCTAATCTCAAAGCGAGCTACAAACCTACAAGCCTACTATAAGTCTATAGTGGCCGAACTAGCATCTCTGTCTTCCAACTTAACTTGAATCTGAATCCGAACAACTAAAACAAGTAAAATCACCCAAATGTTTGACACAAAGATTGCAACCACAAAACAAAAATAAAGTCTCGAGCAACTATAATAAACTGTAATGCCTGGAATGTTAGATATCCATGTTTGGTTCACGGTTTTGACAAAAAGTCGGGAAAGTTACATTCCCGGGAATGTAATATGGAGGAAATTGTTATACCCTTCCATGCTTTAGGTTATCTGACATTTCCGGGAATGATCTAATTTTATTCCAAAAATACCCTCAATTAATTATTGCTTTTCATTTAATTTCTCTACGTATTCAACTTTTATCAAATTTGAATTTTTGTGATTTTATAAAACTTTTAATGTAGTTTCTAAATATGTAAATTTTATTTACTAAAAATAGCTTGAACATTTTTTTATTTTTTAAAATGATAATAAATATATTTAGATTGCTATTTGAACAGAATTTTTTCATCTCTGTATTGGATCTACAACCTCTTACAATTAAACCTACTTAAAAAGAACTCAATTAGATTTGATTTTATTTATTATTAAGATATTTCAATATTTAAAGGGCATTGAAGTAATCCATAATATCTGCAGTATAAGATATCTTTTAACCAAATAAATTAATGTCACATTCCCTTATTCTTAAATCTTAACCAAACACAAATGAGAATAAATTGAATACATTCTCATCAATCTAACATACCCATCGATATGACATTCCTTGAACCAAACGACACCTAAAAAAATATGTAAATATAGGACATCACAGGAAAAAAAGACTTCAACACCCAAGGTGGACTTGAAATCTAGTACCCGTCCCAAAGTCGTTTTATGACTCAGGATGTTTTTACTTGGACTGTAATTTGTTGGTCTGGTCTGATCTGGTCTGAATTGGTCTGGTCTGGTTTCTTTATATTTTTATAACTATCCAAGTCTGGTCTGGTCTGAACTGGTCTGGTCTGGTCTAATCTGTTTTGGGACGAATTACAATTTCTCATTCATTTCCACCTCCATCACAATTTGAGCCTCTTCTACCTTCACTCCCACACCCGACAGCACGCCTGGTCCCCCATCGAGGATGTTCTTGCCGCTTCGCCATAGTCATCCTTCTGATAGTCCACTTTAGCCTTCAAGAACCAGCCACCCCTGAGAGCTCGCTTCCCCTTCCATTGCTTGATCTCCCGACCTATTCTCACCTTTATCTATGCTTGCCTCACCCATCTTGATGCCTTGCTCCGGAACCAACCATTATTACCCCACTAAAATAGCTTCCACCAATAGCCGCTCTCAACCAAGATCTGTATCTTCGGCGAACCCTGTTCAATCTCCAGATTACAAATTAAATGTTAGAGAGTTTTTCATATCCGAAATCAACCCAAGATCAGTTATCATCTTCCCTCTTGAGTTTCATTCTTCTCTTGCGAGGTTTACCAATATCAAGCCATATACGAGCCCTCAAATAAGCCTTCCAGAAACCACAAAATTAATTATCACCAACCTTTATAAACTTTTCTTAAAAATTCAATTCCCTACGCAACTTTCACAGATAGAAAACCAACCGACAAATTGTGGACTCATACATGAAATTCTGCTACATTTAACACACTATTGAATGACTTAAAAGATTATGCAGACTTAAAAGATTCAGCTCAAATAACCAACGACTATATTTAAGAACACATCGCATATCAAATTCACAATAAAAAGTAAAAAATAGGGAGTACTACGTTTGTCCCATAATGTATGATACATTGGGGGTTTTGTGCGGGTCTTTTGTAGTTATTTAATCAATCCGAAATATAAGAGAATTATCGATCTGGAAACCGAAACATGAAATGTATGACTTAAGTTGTCATAAATCATTTTTTTATTTTAAAAATTTTAAATATTATTTAGTTTTATTAAACTAATAAACTTTTGTGAAGAAAAATTTATCGAATATTAGCAATGTAATTAATAAAAAATTAAATAAATTAAAACCCATGAAATGTTAGGTTCTAGATTGACAGTCTTATACCATAAATTTATTAAAAAAAATCATCGTTCAGGTCTTATATCAATACATTCCATCTTTAAGATTCCGAATTGATAATTTATCTTTCTTTTAAGTTTCGGATCGGTAAAATTCCTAGTTTTTAGCTATGCTTTTCAATCTATTATATTATTTGTTAGGCTGCGCCCCGACCCGAGTCCCCATGTCCGCTTTGTTCTAGTTATTTTTTTGAATAATGTTCTAGTTATTTGTTAAAATCACATAAGTGTCTTTTGTAATTTGAATACACATTTAGAGCCCGTTTGGTAACACTAAAATTGGCCGAATTGGCTGATTCTGCTGAAATTTATGAAGTTCTGGCTGAAGTGGTTGTATTGGTTGATTCTGCTGATTCATGAAAAAATTATATTTAAAATATTTGTTATTAATAAATTAAATAAAAAATTATATGAAAAATAGCTAAAATGATTCTCTACATTAACTTCAGCCAATACAGCCAGAAAAGTAATTCCAACCTTACTTTTTCTGCTTATTACAAACTTCAGCGCATGAAATCAAAAGTTACGTGTTTGGTGAAAAAGCTGGTTGATAAGTCTGATAAGCCGAAAAAAAGGGTTATCAAACGGGCTCTTAAATTTGTAACAATTACAAATATAATGGATTGTTACACATATTTATTAGCGGCTGATACATCCATGCCTAAATATCTGCTAATGGATTTGATATTATTGAGTATCAAATTGCAATAAATAAAAGATTATGTATGTAATTTCCAAAATTAAAGAATTGTGATTGAAAGTTTGAAACACAAAAGATGGCAATATTTTTCTTAGAAATAAGAGTAGCTCAAATATTGATTTGCCTAATTAAATTGTTCAGTATATATATTATACATTCGGATAATCTACATAAATGGTAATTCTAATGGTGCAATGATCATTTATCTAATCTATAAAGTAAGCTGTTTTTGAATAAAATGAACATATTTAATATTCGAGTTAAGCTGTATTGAAGTAAATGTGAGCTGAAGAAAATTGTTATAATCTTAGTCGAATTAAGCAATAAACAAATATATAAAAGATACTCGTATTTGTAAATAAAAGATCTGTTCGGTAAAATAAAAATTGATTAAAATGGGTGAAACTCTTGTTCAATCGAGCGGATCAGATGAATTATAAAAAAATTATATTCAATAATAAGTACTAGTATGTTTTATTAAAAAGAAAAAAAAAATATACGGAGTATGAAAACAGTTAATTAGATTATTAATTTCAACTTTATGACGTAGTAATTTTTAGAGAGAATTTCCTAAATAGGAGTAAAAATGTTTGGCTAAAGGGTCAAATAGGTACATGAACTAACTTAAAGTGTTCAATTAGCCCCTTATTTAGGAGATTCTGTCCGTCCGTCGCCAATTGGGGCGGTTCCCGATGGAATTTTTTGATGAATTTTTTTGAGCATCTTCTTCATTAAGTCTAGTTTACCCATATCAAATTTCAGCTAAAAATTAAATCGGGAAGGCAGTCAAATGATTTTCCGAAATGTACTGCGTTGTTTAATTGCGGAGTTATCTTAAAAAAATCATTTGATTGCCTTATGGGGCGGTTGAATTTTTAGCTGAAATTTGGTATGAGTAAACTAGACTTAATGAAGAAGATGCTCAAAAAATTCCATTAAACAATTCCACCGGGAACCGCCCTAATTGGCGACGGTCGAGCAGAACCTCCTATATAAGAGGCTAATTTAATATTTTAAGTTAGTTCATGTACCTATTTGACCCTTTAGTCAAAAAGTTTTGAAATTTCAAAATAGGAATATCATGTGTTTTATTTCTATAATAGGAGTAAATTTTTGTCAAGTTTGACGTCACTAAGCTTTAAACATACATTTTTTCCTAAACTTGAAAAAATTACTCATATTTAGGAAATAATAAAAACATTTGCTGCGGTTCAAGTAATTTCTATAGAAATTGATGTTGTTTTCCCAATTAAATTTTCAGTTCATCACAGTAGCAAAAAAGGTTCATTTCCGTTTCTGTATACTTTTCTCCTTCCTTTTTCAACTCGATCGATATAATCGCGCAGGCTCACATCAATTACATTGTTTTCTATTCCTCGGAAGCTTTGAATTCTGCCTAGCCGGTAACCGCTGCCGATTCCATATCACACTGGTATGCTACACGCGCCTCATTCCTTTGCTAAACCGCGCGGCACGAATTGATCGCCGATTACATGGCTTCACTTCCTATGAGAAGCTCTATGCTTCTATTAGTTCCTTTACAATCAAGTGAAATTTAGTTTGATTTGAAACTGATGCAATTTTCAGTTTGTGCTCAGTCTATCTTATTTGCTTAGTTTGTCTGTACTTGCTTTTCTATTCATCTGTAGATAGACTATGACTACCTATTCTTCTGTATATTGGCATCGCCATTATATGCTCTAGCTATTGGTTAATTTGGTTTGCTAGTATTTTAAGAATGATATGGTGCATATACTTCGATTAGTATCTGGAAATGAATTTTGCTGTGCTTATTATACTTTTCTCAATTATTTTTAGGTTTTTGTATTTGTATCGATCAATGTAATATTCAGATGGAATGATATCATGTTTCACATTACTGTTTCAGTTTTTGAGTCGACATTGATTGTTGGGGAGTGGTGTTGGTGTTGGTGGGGGTGGGGTGAAGGGCAGTTAGTTTTTGGTGTACTGAATGAGTTTTCTTTCATCTGATATAAACCATACTACGTATAAAAGGTTGTCATGACTCATGATGTGTTCCATGGTAATATTGTATTCTAGCATAAAATAAAAAAATTCATTTACTTTTGGATGTAGCTGCATTTTATTAGCTGTTAGCTGTGAGGATAGATGTCAGTTGCGAAATTAAGCACTTTTAGTACTCTGGATGCTTCAAGATCAGATGAGGGTAATAATTCACTTGACACCTTGGTGAGGCAAGCTATAGGAAAGCAACCTGTCCTTACTTTCTCAAGATTGGATGACAACCCAGTACAGTGGGTTCAATTAATTCATGGCTATCAACCAGGTAAAATATAACTTGCAAAATAATTCATACTATTATATGATTGTCTTTAAGCTCAGTCAAGTTCCAGGAAGATAAGATGCTCCAGAAAATGGTGTGTAAAAAGCGATTTATTGGAAAAATTTTGTTTCAGTCAAATGATTCCATCTTTTAAAAGAGGAAGTATTTTCTAAAGAATTGCAAGGAGTCCAGGAAAATATTCCACCCTTCCAGAAAAAGTTTTTTCACCTACTCACATGATTTTTTTTACTTTCTAGTACTGTATGACTGTACACCCTACACAAGTTTATGACTGAATGGAAAACAAATTACTACCGTTTTGTGACTGAATGGAAACTAATTACTTATGTATGTCCTAGCATGGGGATTAGGAATCGTTCTGTATCAATCACTTTACAAATTTATTTCACGTGTCCAGTCGTGGCTTGTAAAAAATGAGTTTGAGCATGAGATATATGCAGGAAAACTGGAAGAGAAGCATGTACGATATTAGACCTAGAGATTGATTGGTCTCTCTTGCTTTCTTGTAGATATTCCAGGTTGGCCTTTGTTGACAACATGGAAAACTCAAATGCAGAAGTGTGAGAAATGTTCCAGGGAGTTTTGTTCACCTGTAAACTACCGCAGACATATTCGCTTGCATCGCCGATCCTTAAATTTTGACAAGGTCCTCATTTTGTCGTCAATCCAGCTTTGTAGTCCCAGTGATGGGCTCAATCTATTTTTTATTTGGTGGTGGTTTAGGTTTTTTGGTTCTTTTAGGGATTTTTCTTTAGCTCTAGATTCATGTTGGCGTTCTTTGTTGCTTATACTCTGTCAATTAATGTGTAAAAGTAATAACCCTCTTTTACATAGAGACTCGATCATTTCTTTTCCAATAATCATGACAGTGCCATAGCATTGCATCACGCGTGAATAGGAAGAATTCTGAAGTAACGTATTCTTCTACTTAAATACAATGTCTTTGCATATCTGATACGACATTTACTTGTCCATGTGTACACAACTACATATGTACATAAGCATGATAAATGCAAAGTAGCATCACTTGGGGTGGTCACACACTCAAGGTAAAAGTGGAATGTGGATATGATTGTAAATACACTGCATGGAATGAAAATAATGACTGGAGTTGCATGCACTGCTAAGTGTGAACTCTGAGTTCTGTCCATTATAAACTCTATAGTCTGGGCTATCTGGTGTTTCTTGAATTAACACGCTTTTTCAATTAGTAACGAAGCCTTACATATTCAAATTTCCAGGACTCTCGAAAGTTAAGGGGTTTATTGGGCGCATTCTGGGACAAGGTAATTAGTGTATTTGTCTGAATATTTCTTGTGCAAGTAAACTGTTAGTTTCAGAAATATATATATTCATTCCTTTTGCATGCAGCTTACTTCGGAAGAAGTTAAAGAAGTTGTATCATTGAATGACATCTCACTCAAGGTAAAACCAAACTTCTCTGCCATATACTATGCAATTGCATGTTAGTATGTTACCCCCAATAACCACGTTAGACATGTACAGAGAATGTAACAAAATAAGGACTCTTTCCAGGAAATTCAGGGGACTTCACTTGTCAAGGACCTGTCAGAGTCCCTCTGCAGACCAGGGGTTTGGACTCTTCCACCAGTTTTTGTCAAAGCAGGCTCTACATTATTGGTAGGGTTACAGCTAATAAATGACTTTTCTGCCAATCCCATTTAGAGCCCGTTTAGTAAGCACTAAAACGGCCAAGTGGCTGAATCTGCCAATGTCATAGATTCAATGGCTGAATAAATGACTTTTCTGCCAATCCCATTAATTACTCTGTATTAATACATATGTTTAAAAATATTGAAGAAAATACATATGTCATACGCTTTTATTTCTGCCCTCAGAAAAATAAGAACGTTAACCACTTCCTTTTTCATTGTAAGCCAATGAAGTGAAATAAGTTGGTGTTGGGTGAAAATTCTGGCCGATAAGGCTGATAAGCCAAAACAATTGCCTAACAAATGGGCACTTATTTTTGTTCCTTTTTTTCTCTTTTATTTTTTTCCTGCATCTATGCATACTAAGCAAGGATTATTTGCAGGATATCATCCAAGCAAAACCTTGTACGCTTCCAGCTTCATCCAATGAGTTATTTAGCATCCTCGATGATGCTAGTGAAAAAACATTTTTATGTGCTGGAACGGCAGAAACAGTGCAAAAATATGTTTTTGACGGCAATGCTGCAAAGTTTGGCCTTGAGCTGAAGAACTTAATTGCATGCACTTGCTTTCTTTTTGAACAGAAACTGGTACTATTCCATCACTTTTCGTCTTAGTCACACATGTTTTATGTTAACAACTGCTATTGTTTATGCTTTATATGTTGCATTGTCCTGTCACTTGGACTTCCATTCACAGTTGCAGTGCTACACCAGTCATTTATTTGAATCAGTTAAGGCACATGTATTCAGAAAATATAGATGACACCAAAGAGAGACATGATATATACATATATCTCTCTCATTCATTTTTAAGCAAGAAGAATTAATGTTTGCAAAGAATAGTGACTTTAAGAGCATTATTTTCTCATTTTCCACCATTACCCTTCTCCATCTATAATGTTAATACCTCCATCCCAAGAAAAAGAGTCCCGTTCCAAACAGTCTTTGTCCCAAAAGAGTCTTTTATGAGCAAATGGAGCTATTGTTTATATAATTTGTTAAAAATAATAGGGTAAATTGAAAATAATAACCAACCTTTGCCGGTTCGCTATTAGTAATCCCAACTATTGATTATTACTGAGTGGTCCCAACTATAGGAATCACTTTCCAAAAGCAGTCCCTGACTTGCTACAACCTGGTATAGCAGGTCAAATTTAAAAGCGAACTATACGTAAGCTATAAATAATCCCAACTACAATCGATCTTCTTTTATTAATCTCAATTATCAACTCTCAATTTTAATTTTTTTTATAAATTGTGAAAATAAATATTTTTAAACATGTAAAAATAATTATGAAAATTCTACAAATGTACCGAAGTTAAATAAAAATAATTTTAGTCACTTTTTATTTATTTTCACCAAAATTTCTTTTTTTTTCTTTTTTCCAATTTATTTTTCCTAGTTGTGTTAACAAGTTATGATTTTGTATTATTTTCTTTTATTCAATATTACCTTTTGTGTTTTCAAAAAGTATATTGTGATTAAAAAAAATTACGATTTAAATCTTTATTCTAGATGTTTTCATGAAAATCTATTTTATGAAATTATTATGCTATCTTAATTGTACAAATCAAAATTCTCTATTTTTTCAATTTTATTATTTTTATTTCTTTCTATTTTCTTTATTCTAATATCAATACATTTTCATTAAAAATAGCCAAAACCTCCAAAATGTATGCCCCAAATCACTATAATTGAACGATAAACTATATTTTATAACTTATACTTCGCCCGTTCCATAAAAGTTGCAACATTGGAATTTTTGCACTATTCACACACCTTACTTTGACTACGATTTTCTAATAATATATATAATAAAAATATTATGTATAAAATATTAATAAATTTGTATTAATGTAAATTTCCAATATATTAACTTTTTTTAATGTTTACTAATACGTAAATAAATATAATTACAGTCAAAGTTGCGCGTTGGCAAACGTGAAAGTCAAACTGTTGCAACTTATATGGAACGAAGGATAGTATAAAATAAAGAAAATAAAAAGAAATTACAAATACTGAAATGGTTAAAATATAGAATTTAGATATCTGGAATAAAGCTTTCAATCATAAAAATTTGATTCACATCTTACTTTTTAAAAACGAAAAAAGTAAATTGAATAAAGGAAAACAATGCCAAATCATAACTTGTTAACACAACCAGGAATAATAAATTGGAAAAAAGAAAAAAAAAATGAAATTTTAGTGAAAATAAATAAAAATGACTAAAATATTTTATTTAACTTTGGTACGTTTGTAGAATTTTCATAATAATTTTTACATGTTTAAAAATATTTAATTTGGAAATTTATAAAAAAAAAATCTATTTTTCTAAAATTGAGTTGATAATTGGGATTAATAAAAGAAGACCCACTATAGTTGGGATTATTTATAGCTTATGCATAATTCGCATTTAAACTTGACCTGCTATAACGGGTTGTACCTATAGTTGGGACCACCCAGGAATAATTGATAGTTAGGATTATTAATAGCGGACCGGTAATAGTTGGGATTATTATTTTTAATTTTTCCAAAATAATAACCAAAAAAGTAAGGAACTTGTTGCTAAATCTACTTAATTAAGTTAATCCAACAAGTAAACTTAAAAAATATAAGTATCACCAAAATTTAAAAGTGGTACATTGATCAAATACTTGCTAAAAAGGGAGAGAGGGAGTATGATTTTTAACTTCGATTTCATATATCCAATCATGTTAGTGGCCCCAAACTCTTTTGGGACCAAGGCTTGGATATTGTTCTATTGATTGAATATGACTCGGTTATTGGTGTACTAAGGTATATTTGATATTTTAGAAAAATTATTATTTTCTGATCATGTGTACCTAAAACAAGTCATTTGAGAATATGGAGGGGGAGTAATAGTAGCAGACTAGCAGGAGATCAGGGCGTGCAGAAGTGAACCAAGCTTAAAAGCGAACATAAGAATTTCGAAATGTTAATAATATGCTCATCCGAAGTATTGTGAATTTGTAATCGATTTTTTGCTGGAGAGGAAACTATAGCAAGGTTGGAATTAATGTTTTATTTTTTAAATTTAAACTCGTTGGCTAATTTTACATTTTACACTTATATTTATGGACAGATGAAAGCATGGCTTGCTGATAAAGATGCAGAGGCATTGAGATGTCAGAAGTTGCTTGTGGAGGAGGAAGAAGCTGATATGAGAAGGTATGGTGGGTACTAGTACTTGGTCAAATGCAAGCTTAATTTCACCCCTATCTTTTTTAACAATTCTTTTGTCTTTATGTTTCTCTTCATACTCCCTCCGTTCTTATATAGTTATATTTCTATATCTTCATTGACCTAGTCACATTTTTTTGGAAAACTTCTTTTGCTTTTTATGTTGCAGTTCATACTCCTCCCAATCCTACTTATCTATCATAATTGGCCAAGTCACACAATTTAAGGAAATGCATCTGAGTGATAAATTAAACTTGTCAGAATAATTTATAACTTTACCTTAAGCGCGCTCATGTAATACGGAATAATTACTTCTATTTCCTTTTCCCCCAAAACAGTTTTTCAAGTTTGACAGCATGGAGATGAGAAATTGAACACTATGCAGTTAAAATTAATTTAGATCAAACAAAAACATAAACACCAAATTTCTTTCCTTAAAAGGAAACGAGAAGTTTACCTTGGGACAGACAACAGTGGAAAGTGCAAAAAGTTTTGAGAGACGGGGGAGTATCATTTTTAATTAGTCTCTTATTTTGTGATAACCCGGTGGCCAACAAAATTCCAGGTCGGAATTTGGTGTAGGGGCCGGGGTACACCCCACCAGTTTATTGAAAGAAGAAATTAAAACAAAGTAGGAGGGCCAAACCAAAGCCTAATTTCAGAAATTACAGAACACACGGATAGCTAACCTCATCAAACTTAAGGATCCGAATGAAATGATTGAAGTGATGGGAGTTGGTTTTAATTGAAACACTATGGTAAGCTAAATATTCAGCATTGAGGGATGCACTCCACCTTCCAATTAAAATCCTTTATCTTTTCCCGATATTGCCTATCTTCGGCCAAACTTGCCAGTGTTGCACTTAGTGTCCAAGAAGACCCTCATAGACGTTCCAATTAGACGCATAAAGGATAAGGGTAATATTTGGAAAACAATATTTGATGATAATAGGTTCCATGAGGACATAAAAAGAACAATCAAATTTTGCGAATGAAAATAAATGAGTAGGAACTGACTAGTAGTAATTAGCAAGCCATATTGTTCTTATGTGGATTATCTTTTCTAAAAATGTTGCAGGAAAGCTAAGTTATTGGAAATGAAAAGACAAAAGAAGTTGAGACAGAAGGAACAGAAGGCAAGGGACCAAACAAATGAGGCAAAAGTGGATCTATGTGTGTCATCTGATTCTTTAGACGATCCTTTAGTGGAAGAAATACCCAGTCCTCCAGCACCATCTGATGAAACCTTGTGCTTTGAAATCGTTTGCTCCTCAAATGAAGGTCAGGATATTGAAACACAAAATTCACTCGATGAACATGTTGTAAATGAAGGTCAAAATGGTGAACCCGAACTGTTGCAAGAAAACAGTCAAAGGTCACCTGCCAAACATGGTCCAATAGATGGGGGGCCTGTAGTGAACAACTGCAAGGTATGGACAAGGAAAATTAGAGTGGTAAATAATGAGAGCTTTAGGGATTTGGTACCGAAAAATGGAGTAAGTCGAAACCCAAGTGATTGTGAAGTGATGATTGGATCTATATCTGTGCCTATGAAAAATTACACTCGACAAGATTTGGTACGTAAGAAACATGATGTTAATGGCCCCACTAAGCTTTGGAGGCCTGTGAGTAGGCATGACAAGGGGAGACAAGATGGAGATTTACTAAAGAAAGTCTATGATCAAACTCTATCCAATAAAACATTTCTGAATTCACCAGAGAGCATTACACATGCAGAAGGGTCCTTACCATTCTGCGGTAGCGTCGCGAGAGATTTTCTTGCACAGAGTATGTGCTTATTTATACTTATTCCCCTCTTTGCTAATTTGTTACTCCCTCCGTTCTCAAATGACTGCCCATGAAGGAAAATTTTGGGTATTTAAGGTGATATTTAATTTTCTTAAATCGACAAATGTGAACTAATTTTCTCTAGGTTTTCAAAGTAACAAGCAAATGTGAAATAAATATGGGAGGTCATTTTACTATATCTTTACAGATGGTCTAAATGGCCAGTTATATGTGAAGAAAATAATACGGAGTATGTCTTTAGTTAATGAACACCTATTTGAGAAAGGAGGAAGTATATGCTGTAACAGCCTTAGCTTTTTACTTCAGTTGGTGCTGGCTTTTTATTGAGTGTTTCAATAAAATGTAGGATGGAAAGAGGTGATGTCAGCAGATCGTGTAGAATTAGTGCTTTCCCTTGTTGCTTCTGACCCTCCAGAGTGCCCCCATGACACTATAGAAGCAACGTGACTTGTGAATCTAATATTTTTGTGGAATTCAAAGTTCTAAACTACCAGGGGAAAGGGTGATACATAGAATTACGTTTCCAAGAGTACAGGAAAACCATTTAGGTCAGTAATCAAGTTTTTAGCTTTTGGAGAAGAAAAATGCAACTTGTACACGCCGGTTTACACGCCGGTTTACACACCAAGTGTAATTGTCTATGCACACACAATTAATTTTCATTTTAGTAAAGGCCAAGTGTCTGTGACCCCGAAAAAATGAATTTTCTGTGGATGATTGTGCACAGACAATTACAGATTAGTGTGTAAACCGGTGTGTAACCTAACGTGTACAAGTAGCACGGTTGTTTTCTAATTCAAAATTTTACTGTAATACATCGTTCCTTCATTTGTTTGGGACTTTTTTACCTCCCATTTTTGCATGATAGCCTCAGAATAGATTTAGACAGCCCCAACCCATTTTTCCTCATATCATTTGATGCTCAATCTTTTTCTTTGTTGAGTTATAATACTGTGCTCAATCTTTGTATTTGCTCGCTTGTAGGCCTTGTCATGGTTACCAGATTGTTGGTTGTATTAGTGATTTGTAAAATGCTGTGATGAAGCAAGTTGTTTAGTGATTGTAGTTATCGTGTGAAATGGCTTTCAAGGACATGCTTAAGGCTTTAAACAATTATTTTTTAAAATGTGACTCAATACTTTCTCTGTCGAAAGGAGTATTTCAAGCACATATTGTCGCCCAATACTTTCTCTGGTTAATAAGATATGCATTACTAAACCTTAACTCAGTTAGCCAGCCATACATCCGTCAAGTATCAGTGTTTGTTGGTAGGGATGGAACAGGGTACCATACCGGGTGGGGGGCGGTCTCGGTCTCGGGTAGGGATGGACCTGGACCGGGTTGGGACCAGGACTAAAAATTTCAGGCCCGATATTGGCCCAGGTTTGTACCGGGACCGGGCCGGGCCAGGCCTAAATAGTATCGGGTTGTGATTGGGTCGGGATGGGCCTGGACAATAAATTTAAAAAAATAGTGCAATCGGGCTCGGGATCGATCGGATCGGGCCTAAAAAACGAGCCTGAAGCCCACCCTTATAGCCATCGGGTTGGGATCGGGCCAGGCTCCAGGCCTGAAGAGGACTGGGTCGGGACGAGGCTAAACAGTGTCGGGACCAGGCCAAGCCGATTCGTCGCAGTCCATCCCTAGTCTCGGGTGGTCCCGGTTTCAGTTCAACAACCAGTGTTTTTTAATTTTAAATTCTAGGGTGGGAAATTGGGTCTGAATCGGCCTGGGACAAGCTGGGTAGACTGGACCGAAATCGGGTATCGTACTACTCCGGGTCGGTTCCGGTCTCAAGTTTGGGGGTCCGGTTGGTCCGGGACCGGAATTGGATTGGGTTCACCCCTATTTGTTGGATAGGAGTAATAAATGACTATTAAATCCTTATAACACAGTGCATGTTTGAAATATTTTGTATATATTTTTATGTACACCTCTGTCATAAATCACAACCATTTCACATTGAGGGTTGCATGAAGCTAATGTTGCTTCTCTCATAAACCTATACTGACGTTTAGGCATGGGCCCGATCCAGAACCGGTACTGTGCAGGATTGGATCAGATTCGTTTTCTGCTTCCAGGCAAAAACCGAGTACCGAACCGGGTGCATTGGGTACCATGTTCTGATTCAATGATTTTGGGACGAAACATGTCAGTCTCAGTTTTGATCTTGTCCGGGTAATTTGTTTTTTAGCCTTAGAATTGGACATACTCCCTTCGTCCCAAAAAATTCTTCTCACTTACCATTTTTGGACAATTTGTGTGGTTCACATTCATTTCACCTTTTTCTTACACAACTACAATCATACATTTGCACTTTCTTAATCTCCGTGCCAAGTCAAAGTGGGAAGAATTTTATGGGACGGAGGTAGTAATTATTTTAGCGGGACCATATGTTCAGACCAATCGGGTACCTGGAATCCACCCGAAACCGGATTTAAGCGGGTCAAGCCCGAGTTCAATTATTAATGGCAGAGATTGGGCAGTCTCAGATCGGAACTAAGACCGGACCAATCATGGGTCCATGCTTAGTACTCCATTCGTCTCGCTAAGATTGTCCCATTTTACCTTTTCGGTCTGTCCCACTAAGATTGTCTCATACCAAATTTGGCAAAGTTTATGTGGCTCTAAATCATTCTTACTTTATCAATTCAATATCAACCACATAAATTGTTTTTTATTAATTTGTGTGTCACTCCCTCTTGTCCCATTGTTAGTGGCATGGAGGTAGTAACATCTAAACGTTCACCGACTAAGGGGGTGTTCGAAACTGATTCTGCTTCTGCTTCTTTTTTAAAGCAAAAGCAGAATCAATTTTCAGAAGCTAGTCTCCCCTAGCTTCTAAAAAAACTCAGTCGAGAAGTAAATTAGAAGTACTTCTACACTTTCACCTAGTGATGGACCCGGGCTGGTCCGGTTCCGGTTTCGGGCCAGGCCCGGACGGGCTTTTTTTGCAAATCCTTGGGCCCGGAACCGGCCCGGGTTGATACCGGGTCCAGGCCTAACCGGGCCGGCCCCGGTTCAATGTCTATTTTTTTATTTTATTTTTTGCTTTCTTGTTATCCCCCGACCCCCCCCCCTCACCCCGACCCCCAAACCTCCCCAAAACACCCGGCCCTACCCTAGGAAAAGAAAAAAAGAATTGAAAAAACAAAAACAATTGACCCGGCCCCGCCTCGAACCGCTCGGGCTGGTTCGCCCAAACCTGGGCCCAAGCCCGGCCCGCCTGACCCGCCCAAACGGACTAAAAGCCCAGAACCGGCCAATCGATCTCGGTCCGGTCCGGGCCCGCACAGTAGCGGGATGGGCCGGCCTAGTTTAGTCTATCCCTACTTTCACCCAAACACTCCAACTTCTGTATTTGCTCCCTAAAGGAGCAGAAGTAATTTTAAGAATCAGATTCAAACAACCCCTAAATGTGCCTTTGATCTTTCTTGATGGGATTTGATTTGGGGTGACATCATGAACTTTAGTAGTACCTTTAATAGTACAACGTGATAATTTTTGTACAGTCTAGCAATTTGTAATTTACGCTTAGGGATGGACCCAGGCCGGTCCGGTTCCGATTCTGAGCCGAGGTCGGGCGGGCTTTTTTTCCAGATTTTTGGTCACGGAACCGGCCCGGGTTGATACCGGGTCAGGGCCGAACCGGGCCGAACCAGGCCGGGCCGGGCCGGGCCGAACCAGGCTGGGCCGGACCGGCCCGGATCTATGTAATATTTTTTCTTTCTAATTAACCCCCGACCCCCCCCCCTCACCCCCACCCCTCAAACCGCCCCAAAACACCCAGCCCGGGCCGGTTCAACAAAAGTAGGGCTCGAGCCCGGCATGCCAGGCCCGCCCACACGGGCTAAAATCCCGGAACCGGCCATCCGGTCCGGTCCGGGCCCGCACAGTAGCGGGCCGGTCCGGTTCACGGGCCGGTTTGGCCTGGTTTGGTCCATCCCTATTTACGCTACTCACATTTTGACAATGAGAGATCACTAGGGATGGACTCAGGTCCGAGCCAGGTCGGGCCTATTCCCAGGCGGGCCGGCGGTTCAGAAATGGTGGACCCGGGACCGGCCCGAGTAACCACCGGGTCCGAGCCGGGCCGAGCCCATTATCATTTTTTTTTTGTTTTCATCTTCCTAATTAACCCCCCTCCCACCCCCAACCCCCCAAACCACCCCAAATGGCCCAAAATACCCAGCCCAACCCGAAAATTTAAAAAAAAATGAAAAAAATAGGTTTTGGCCCGAACCGGACCCGGCCGGGTCGGGCCTTGTTTTGGGTGATCTGAGTCCGGACCGGAAAACTCACGGGCCGGGCCTACCTGGACCGGTCACTGACCGGGCCACCGGGTCGGGCCGGGCCGGAACAGTACCGGTCCCGAGCCGGTTCCGGGTCGGGCCACCTGGCCCGAGTCCATCCCTAGAGATCACTCTTGTGTGTGTGCATGTCAAGTAGTTCCGAGTGGATATGCCATCAAATAAAAACTCCTCATCATCATCATTCTTCAATATAAAGTTTTCAACATAACAATATATACATTTCTTGATATCGAAGAGCAAAATTGACATTGACAATACGCGTAACAAAACAAGCTAATTTAACTAAATGATGACATTTACATTAGAACAGAATGAATAAAATGCCAAGGCCAGGATACATTCCAAGAGACCGTAAAGTAACTACTTCCAGCTTCGAGCGCACTGTTTTTTGTGTGCTTCGTATGTGAATTTGTCCTCACTCCAAGGGTCCAAACAATATGCATATATAGCCGTGAAGGGATGATTTTTAGTCAGGTAAAACTCATTTCAAGCAGAAGCAAAATCACCTAGCTGCCATCAACCTAGTAGTAGACTCCAAGCGTGACACCTGGTCTCAGAACTTCAATTTGTTATCTTCGAGAGTTTAGTAAAATGCTATCCCAATCCCCAGAACTTCAGTTTGTTAACTCCAAGTGTGACACCTGGTCTCATAACTTGAAAAGAAGTATAATGCTACTGTAGTAAGGAATTCAGACATTTCATAACTTTCTAGTTCTCATATAGTTGTCATTCATTCAAACTCTACACCTTTCCAAGTTCATCCTTAAACCTGTTATAAGTAAAAATATCTGGTATAAACCCAATATCCAGCATCTCATCCAGCAAAATTTCCCCCTCTTTCCTTTTACCCTCCATTGTAAACCCAGATATCAAAATGCTATATGCCATTGCATCAAGCTGTAATCCCTTACTGGAAGCCAGGAGCCTCAACTCATTAGCTTCACATGATTTCCCTGCACTACACATACTACTAAGTAAGCAGTTAAATGTCACACCATCGGGAACTATACATTCATTAAGCATATCTTTTAAAAACATATATGCTTCTTCAATCCGCCTTTCTTTTCTTAATCCTTCAATCAAGGTCGTACAAGCTACTGGGCTTGGAGCATTTCCCCGGCTCCACAGCTCATTAACCAACTCTACTGCTCTCCCCACATTCCCCTCACTACACAACCTCTCTACTATGTCAAAGTAATCAAACCCATTTGGCATTACGCCTTTTCTGGAAAAATCAATCAAGACACTGCAAGCGTTTGTCAACATCCCCATTCTACAAAGCTCATTAACCAAAATGTCACAAGTCACGCTTGATATCCCATGCCCTAATTCAACCATCTCATAGGCCATCCCAATTCCCTCCTCAATCTCGCCTTCTATTAGAAACCTCTTAATCAAAGTGTTAAAAGTAACCACATTTGGTACACACCTGTGGTTTTTCATCTCCTTAAACATCTGCAAAGCCAATCCGAGTTGGGCATTTCTACAGTGCCCACTAATTAAGGTGTTAAACGTAATTATATCGGGCTTAACGCGATCATTGATCATTCTATCATAAAATCCAAGAGCCTTATCATAATTCCTAAATTTAACAAATCCGTGAATAATTATGTTATACATGGCTGCTTCAGGCTTACCGTCAATCAACCGCTTCATAGTATCAAATGCAAGCAGAGCGTCATCGAATCTGCCGGATTTGCAGAACGCATTGATTGCGAAACGGAAGATTGGTTCGGTTCTAGGGCAAGAGAAGATACCGTCGGCACATGGGCAAGGGTTAGCGGCAATGAATTGGAGGAGGGGTGAGAGGGAGTCGAGGCGGTTGGAGATGGCGAGCGTACGGCACATCCATTCGAAGGTGGAGTGGTCGTGGCGGAAAGAGTCGACGGAAGCGGCATATCGGAAGAGGTGAAAGTCAAGGTGGGTGAGTGTGGGGTGATAGTGGATATGTTTCCTGAGAAAGGAAAGAAGGTCTTTGGGAGTGAAGGAAGGTTTTAAGTGAGTCTGTACAAGTCGGGTTAACTGCGTTTGTGTGGCTGCTGGAAGAGTGCCGATGGTGGAGTCGAGAACCGATAGCGGAAGGTTAGACGCCGCGGTTGGGTTGAGAGACGCGGGGACGATGACTGCCGCCGCCACCGCTTTTGGTAATAGTTTTGGGAGTTTCCTGTGAGTCATTTTTAATTCACACTGTCAATACCGCAGGTGTCCATTTGAGTAATTCCTTGAGGTTTTCACTCTGATACGGGTCAACCCGAATCCAACAAACATCACATCCCAGCACTACAATCATCACCCACCTGACATATTTGAAACTGAATTCTATTAGTACGAGCAGAAAGTGAAGCCAATAAAATGGCTTTAAAGTCAATTAGCAAATTCTTATTTCGATTTCAATTTGCTACCGTATGCATTCCAGTATCATTGTAATAATTTGAATCTGCGGACAATATGTGCACTGGATCTTGGTTAAAGAAACAAAACATAGACAACATCCTATTGGGAATAAGCACTGCTTGAATATGGTAGATGGATTATGTGTTTGTATAAAACAAAGATAACCCAATTCTTTTCAATTTTTATGTTTTTTGTTTTATGTTTCAAAAAATTATATGCAATGTGTAGTATATCATAATCCAAAACTACTCATACTGCTAATCATGTGAACTTTGAACAATTTTAAGAAAAGAAAAAGTAAAACTATTTTGTATGGTTCCCGAAATCCGGTTTTTAGAAATTTACCAGAATTGTTAGTCAATTCTTCTGAATATGAATAAGGATAGAAAATACCCAGCAGTCCCCTAAACCTTCACTCCTTCCTTCTTTTATTCTTAATCATTACGTCTTCTTTTTCCTTTTCTTCTCAATTTTGAATTTTAACAATCACATTCCCAGAAGGAGACAATTTCTCTAGTAAAGGCATCAAGATTAGATGATCACTAGAGGAGTTCCAACAGTTCCAAGCGAAGAGCTGGAGTTTTTAAACTCCAGCCAGTTTCCCCCCTAAAAGTGAAAGACACAACAATTATATTCACTATTGATGGAGGAAAACTTCAGATTTTTATCAAAATACAAGACACTCTACCCTCAAAAACAATGTACGGTTCCTTGATTAAAAAAGGATAGCATATTGAAAAACAGTGTACGGTACCTCGATTGAAAACAATGTAGCAGGCTTGGATAGCTTATTGAAAAACAAGCTCTTATTGATACATACTAACCTGACTACTTCATAATACAATGCCTTTATAAAGAAATAATGAGTTTAACACATAGGCAAATCCAAAGTGTTCTCCTATATTCTGGTAGTGATTATGTGAATGAAAGAATTAGGGAAAATAGTTGTTCATGGTGACAGGTGAAAATACGAACATGTTCCAATGATCAAAGAGAAGAATGGGGTATAAATGTTGCTGGGAAGAGAAAAAAATCTCAACAATAAACAAATTTCAACAGAAAAACATAATTCCAAACCCTAAATCGGATATGTGAATCAACTATATACATACAAGTTGAGTGGTCTTCTTTCGGCGAAACAACCTTTGCCTCCTTGCATCTGTGTTCTTCTGCGCATCTATAGTCTAAGTTTGCTACCAGATTTCCGTCAATGTTCTACGTTAGAATGGGCCGTCTAATTCCATTCCATCTGTAGGGATTAAAAAGCAATTCCGTTCCTCTTAAATTCAATACCTAGTCAGCATATTAATATGCTTTAATCTATCCACGTGCCTTATTTTTATTTGACCAGCTAACAAATGCACCGTACCCTCAAAATTTGCAAAGGCACCATAGTTGTCACCTTCAAGTAATATTAATAACAATTTGAGGAAAGGTATCTTACACAGTTGAAGAATATAACTCAGAGTATCTTACATTACCACCAAATAGTGGGTCCACTAATTTTAGTTTATGGTCTCGTAATATTAATTAGAAATTTAGAACCCTGGTTCCTCCCATTGTTTTCAAAGCCCGGGCCTGACCCATATAAATCCAGTTCGGGCCGGTTCCAGGAACCCTAGCAGTCCGGCCCAGTCCTTAAAGAAAAAAGAATTGAACGGTTCCAAGGCAAAAATAAAATAAATTTAACCGATCAGGACCAAAACTCAGACCGGGACAGACCTGTTAGGTCCCCGACACTAAGAACTGGGACCATGTACCTATGGACCCGGTCCAGTCCCGCACAGTGCCGTTCCTGGGTCCGGATCGGGTCTACCCCTAAGTGTAATATCCTTGCAATATATCCATACCTCTCAAAGGCTTATTTCACTAAGCCTTTAATAGTACGTATTAATTTTCTTTAATAAGTGTAATCAAGGATATCATTTGTGTACGTATATTTATCTTTAGTCTGTCTTTCAAAGGCTCATGATTTAAATAACAGGAATCATATCCAAACTTTGTAATAAAATATAAAATTGGCATTCACTGGACTTCATGCCCAGTACTGACTGAGCTCTCCTTTCCGCATAACATCAATCATAGATTAGAGCATTAGGGTTTCATCAAATATTAGGACCCTTCGTTTATAATTAACACCGTCCAATGAGCCATGAACACAAAATTTATGTAAAGTTGAGTAGATGACTTCATATAACTTGTCAACGGCAACTTATATATTGAGAACAATTTGAGAAGGATGATTGAGTAATTTCAAATTCATATAATGAAACTGTCTGAAATGGATTACCCTTATGATAATTTGAGAAGGATGATTGAGTAATTTCATATTCATATAATGAAGCTGTCTGAAATGCTTCAAGCACATATTGAAACTGACATTTATAATGGATTACCCATATGATAATTTTACACATTTTTCCTCTTAATAAATTCATGTAGGATGTTTTATTACATTAAGTGTATCTTTATTTCTCCCACTTTTGTTAGGAAGTTAACCAAAATTCTTTAACAAGAAGAATCAAATTAGAATATTAGAGTGTAATATCCTTAACATTCTTACTCATCTGGAGCCTTCGAGTTCGAACCGAACTATTCATGCTAATGTCTTATAAAAACAAGATTCCTACTAGAAATGAGAAAAATGAAGCTTTTATTTTTCGATGGAATCTACAAAGTTCACAGAGTCATTAGTTACAGGGATCCTTCAACCCTAATGTAACATCTAAAGATATTTTTATGCAAAATACGCTTAGGATTATCGCTTGGTATATTTGGAAAACCTATTCCGAAAATTGGTTTGGGGCAACAAGCAATCGGTTCCGACTACGGAAACCTTGATATACCAAATCAAGCGATATGCCCAGGATTGGTCAAGCAAACTCAAGAAGCTGAAAACGATCACTGGTTATGTTTTTCTACATAGCCAGCTTAAATTGAACGTAGATTCGTCGTACATACCGGAAAAATCCTCAGGTGGTGCTTTGATGAGAGATTCCCACGGCACGATGATATTTGGACTGAGCGTTCCTATTCCAGCCGATTCGGCCTGCCATTATGCTGAACTCAAAGCCTGCTTTTTTGAGCCTGTAATTTCTGAAAAATAGATTCTAATTCTGCTCTTAAAGCATAAGAAGAAAGTTCCAAACATCCTTTAGTTACGGTGTTGTACTGAGATAGTTCAACTTTTATGATAAAATAAAAGTACACACCCTTGTACACACCTTATACATACCATGTTTGTGAAGTTTTTTTTGTCTGTGAATCCGGTTCACAGACAATATTTTGTTTGTGCAAAACATTGTCTATGAATCGATGTTCACAGACAAAAAAAACTTTCACAGACATAAGTGTGCACTAAAGTGTGTATAAGAGTGTGTACAAACATCATTTTTGAAAATAAAATGTAACAGGTGTTGTATTCTCTTCTGCGTGACCACATTTATGACTCAAAAGTTACGGTCGAATGGTAAGAGAGATAACATTTCAATCTGACATGTTAGGGAGGTGTTATCTCAAGCTCGTTTGAATTCTTCGGATAACTCGATACGGGTTTTTTCCAATATTAGTCACGAAATCCATAATTCACACAGTTTCATAATGATGGATTCCTGACCTAGGGGTAAGTAAGATAGAGTAAGAAATTCAGCGGAGTAAGGGTAAGTTTGCACTAAAATCTGGATTGAATCCCTTTCCACATGTTGGAGTAATATTTATAGTAAGAAAAAAAAATACTTGACCAACGAGTAAAAAGATGTAATTTTATTGTGGTGAGGACACGTGTATAACTTGACTAACAAGAAGAAATGTGCTAGTCTAATGGTGTGATGACACGTGTAAAACTGATTGGAAAGATAGCTTGGACAGTTAACTGGTTGACACGGTGCGTAACAAAATTGTCTTTTGTGTACCATAACACATGTGTATGGTACACGTGTGCCACCTGGAATATTCTGTGCAATAACGGCCAGAGTGATGTGACCTTTATACAGCTGTTATGCTGATGTCGTGTCAGTAGCAATGCCTGATGTTTGATTACTGAATTTGTCCAAATCCACAAGTGTTTGGTGAGGTCCTGAGCTCAGCAAAAGAGATTGAGCTCGGGCACAGCATGCTACTATGGAGGGAGCGACCTCGATTAACTGTTCGTCTAGTGGAGGATTTCTTCATCTCGCTGACTTTCTTGAAGCGCTGAGTTGACCTTGAGTTCTTACACGGCGTCAGATCGGCATTGGCCTCGACGCTATCGATCTCGGCCTCAAATGCAGTTTCGGCCTTATCTCGATGATATGGGAGTCAAATGTTGGATCGATCTCAGGCGGATTGAGGTCGGCCTCGACGGAATATTGACTTTATGTTTTCTGGAGACTTCTTTGTTCGTGAATGTTGATACCCCTGAAATATATGGAAATGTACTCCATCACATATATTTCGAAGAGATATGTCATCTCTAGTTCTCTAGAGCAATTTTAGTCCAATTCCCTTTCTTTTGTACTTTATTTTAATATTAATAAAATTCAGTAAATGTTACTCGACATTTACTCCAGATGATTTGTCTACCCATTTAAAAAGAAATAAAAGATAGACAAAATCTAAGGTTACTTTAAAAGTGTAACCTTTACCTCTTAATATTCAAACAACAGAAATGTGAATTAATAGAAAGATCATAATTAGCAAAAATAAAAAGTCAATCTAACACACATTGACGTCCCACAAGATAAGAGTCTCAGGAAGAGTCTCCACCTAAGTGTATAAAGAGTAAAGTCTCATTCTCAATTTCACTAGAGATCATTCTCAAGATTTGAACTCGTAACATTCAAGTACCAAAGCAACACCACAACCTCTGGACCAAAGCCCCATTCATAGTTTTTTCAAGTTCTAATTTGATTTCTCATCAAATGATTCTCGAGCGTTTTTTGAACTTTTAATCTCCACAAGCGCTTAATGTATTTTTCAATATTGACATTTACATTCCAACTGCTAAAGACAAAACAAACCACCAAACACCCCTCATGTGAAGCAACGCATATGTTTATATCTTTAAATGTCAACTACAGAGTAAGGTGCAAGTTGTTTTTGAACCACCAAACACCCCTCAACCAGTTTGATCTTAGAGTCCCCTGATACAGTGATTACCAAGCCTACCAGCATGTCAAATGGGAGGCAATGCATTTGTGAAATAAGCTGAAACCGTAGCCTGGTATTCCGAGTTTCAAATTTGTAGGCCATACCATCTTCACAAAAGGGAGAGATAGAAGAAGAAAAGAATGTAAATCATACACAACTGTTGACATTTCCTATCCTAGTACGATAAATTGTAGTACAACATTTCTGAATATAACATGAGCTCATAGAACTATATAAGCATACAATGTTTCTCACTAAGCAGGTCATAAGTTTATAAAGAAAATGCAAGAAGAAATCAAAATGCTTTGCCATAAATCGCAGAACTGAATAATTTCCTTTTCATTTGATTTTCTTATACAGTAGGGGGGAAACTTCTGACTTTGAGAGCTAAACCATAAAAGTTCAGCTAATCGCCAGATGACACTTCTATGTGCGCAGTAACTGTGAAAACAATACAACACCAGTTACATTTTACAATCCTGCCCTTTTATGCTGTCTTTTAAAATCAGTACCTGCCACCTTATATGATCATTCTCCCACCCGCGCCAACAAGCTTAGAAGATGATTCGGAATTTTCCACCAGCACATCGTTTTCAGCATAATTGACTTGTGGGACTTGGAAAACAAATAAATTAATCTTGAGAGCTGTTGTTGGATGGGGAAAAGGAAGGACATCGGCAGTTAATCTGTACATCTCCTTAAAGAACCATTACCGTTCATAGATATGGGTACCACAAGCCTCCTCTCTTGACCCCCCAAAGATAGAAGCTCCTGCATCCTATCTGGCCACACAGAGTTTAGCCTCCGCGCAAAATCCTCCACCTCCCTGAAATAATCATTATTTTTTGCGAGTTAGGAGTATAGGAGTGGGGATGGGAATGATTTGTGTTGACCCAACCCCTAACCTGGAAGCCAAGCCACCACCCCTTCCACACGAAAAAAACTGGGTGCAACTTTGAAGACCCAAAATCCAACCATAAGAATATTGGCGTTGCATTTTCAGGGTAAATAAAAACCCAAGCTTTTAACGTTTAAACTGTTATTTTTTGTCCAAGTTGAAACAAACTTTGAGTATATATTAACAGAACAATGGTAAAAACTCTAAATACAAGTTTATCAAATCATAAACATAAAAATATTATTGATCATTGAATTAAATAGGTTATTGATGATTTATTATTTATACAGTGTATTTAAAGCTTCGGTTCTGGTTCAGATAAAACATTTTATATGTACACCTGAGACGTGAACCATTTTTGACAACTTTTTTTAAATGGATCAGATTTAAACCAAATAACCAATCATATTCAAACTCAACTTACAAAATTTTGGATCTAATCCGATAGAAAATCCGAAATCGGTTTGAACCATAAGTACCAGCCTTACTGACAGTCTGACAGCTTAGCAATTTAATACATAAATCTGAGGAAAGAAATAATCATCAAACCTGTCAAGTTCTTCCTTCATTGCCGGGTCTAACTCATCATCAATATCACCATCATCATCGTCATCATCGAAGTCAACGTTACATGAAAGCAAAACAGATGCAGAACTTTGCTGCTTAGAAGTTCTACTTGGAGAGGGCACATCATTAATGGCACCCGCTGTCTGGCTGGAGGGAAGACAATTATGCCCCTGAGAATACAGATAACAACCAACCAAAAGAAAACACTAAGCAGACATGTGGCATCATGAAAAGAAGATATTAGCATTAGTTCATGCAGGCACCAACCTTATTCTTGCTCCCACTCTCACTATTTGAAGAGCTTTTAGAATGTTCTTTCCTTCGCCGGTTTTTCTTCTTATTTTTATTCGATCGTACTCCTTTTGAGTCTACAAATGGTTAAAAGCCCAATCAAGCATTTGCAAAATAAGAAAAAAATGCATGCTCAATAAAAATATGGACTAAATTTAAAATGTTTAAACAGGGACCAGTGTTCCAAAAGGTGGCACCTATGCATTTGGCAGCAGGAAAACCCCCCAACATTGTAGCTAGGCATGAAAAAGGCAGTCAACTCGAAAGTCGACTATTAATGCAAGAAAAGGCAATATCAGGTATGAAAAGGCACGAGCTGTTTTAATAGAATAAGTAATTTACGAAAAAGATTTTTTAAAAAAAGTGTGAATAGGTTTATTATGTAATCTAATTGTAGAAACTAGAAACTAGAAAGCAACAATATTCTATTTTGTACTTCAAGTTTTTTATATTTTAAAAAATTATGTATTTACTGAAACATGAAAATTTTATGTTTAGATTTGTATTAAAACATTTGATATTTTTCTTTTTCTTATATCATTATAAAATAATAAATATGAATAAATTACAGATCGGGTTTTCACGTCTTGGCTTCAAATCCTTTAGGTTTGGCCTTGACACATTGCATGCCTTACACCTTTTAGAACATTGGCAGGGCACATTACTTTGCTTATTAAAAAACATGAAAAGTATTCAAGTGTTGTTGAAGTATCCAGCAACGGATATCAAGAGCACCAGAGGTGTCCAATCAAAACACAACAGCGGCAATGCAAGAACTGTGAGCCAAAAATGAAGCTCACTTTCCTGATTCAAAATTCCTCTTGGAGAAACTAAAAAGAGAACTTCAAATTAATACAAATAATAACTTCAGTACTCTTGCAGTACAGCCATGTGTAAATTTGGCAACTTTTTTAGGATTTTGTTCAATCCTGTTTCTAAGATAAGATACCTCCATCTCCACCATTTATGAATGACAAAAGATCGTCGACGGAGCGCTCATCAAAACACTGCTCTTCTTCCACCTCAAGATTCTGGAAGATACGGCTAGTTTTTTAATACTAAATTACCACGGCTGAAACTACTACTGGATAAACAAATGTCAATGGAACCCTTATGTCAGCATACCTTTAATTTCTTTCTTTCTTTTAATTCTTTCCTTTTTCGTGCATAAAGTCGATTAAGTAATCGGATTCGTGGATCATCGGTCATGTTTCTTAAGGGCTCCAGCTTTTCTTCCTGATGGAAAAAACCATTTTTTTTGTCAGTAGAAACATGATAGACGAGGTATCAAGTGCCTTGTTACAGCTCTAACCTCTGTGAGGTCATCGGGTAAATGAAAGGTTTCACGTATTTCCTCTGGACTTTTTCCTTCAATCATCCGAGCAAGTGCACGACAGGTAAGGTCCACCAATGGCCTTAGCTGGAGACTATCAGCAGCAGATGCTAACTCACATAACTTGTTTGTATCCAAGCGGATGAACTTTTCATCATAAGTCTTGCGCTCCTGCAGCCACCATACAAATAAGATAATCAACCCCTAAGCCAGGCAGAGCCTAGAAGTTCCAGTTTACACCCTCTGATAGGTTTATACACATACAATTGCAAGCAAACATGTAGAAGCTGAAACAGACCTTATTTGAACGACCGGGTAATTGATGGAATCGGCAATAATCAAGTATTAAGCCCAATATAGCAGGATTTACTCGTTGAGGGAGTGTGATTGCATAATTCTTGGAGGAACCCATGCCAGACTGAATAACTTCTCTACAAATCATAGGGCAAAACATTGCAACCTCTTCCTCTACTTGTTGAATTGAACCATCGGTAGTTTGGAGCCAAATATATGACTTCATCTTGAAAAAAGAGTAACAAACTCAGATAATAAGTGCAATCAAGAAACTTCATTAATAAAAGAAACTTAACCCAACTAAACCATAGAACTCTTGAAGTTTATTCTCTACCCAGCTACTTTGTTTGTAATCTACTCGACCTCTTTCTTCTCTACAGTTCTGCATGGCCCCTTTCTTCTCTACTTGATTACATCTTTCAGAAGTAGCAACCAACAATTTTTTTACCAAGTGATTGTTAATCTTTCTTTTGTCATGAAGATCTGGCTTAAATACTCTGTATTAGATTATTTTTATGAGTTAACATGCGAATACTCTCTCCGTCCCTTATAACTTTGCCAACTTTCCTTTTTTGGATGTCCCGTCAACTTTGCAACTTTTCTTTTAAAGTAAAGAATTTGTGGTTCCAGTTCATTCTTTCTCCTCTGCACAAACCTCAACCACACAATTTTTATTTTATTATTTCCCGTGCCGGTCAAACTTGGTAAAGTTATTGGGGACGGAGGGAGTAGTAGTTATTATGCGTAACTAAGTCACTTAGTCATACGTGTAAATCTGATTGTTTTGTTTTATTCTTTTGTTGTAGTTTTTCTCTTACTTCCAACTGCTTAATGAATTATACTCCGTATGATATTTTAAAATTATTATGGAGTACATTATTACATTTTCACCGGTGAGGCTTATGCCTAGAAGCTTGTTTAGTTTTTTAAAACCTTGACTAATCACAACCGACAGAGGATGCAGATTGTCACCAACCAAAACACAAAAACTAAAATTTCTAAGGATGACATTTATCATCCAAAAAGAATAATAGCAAAATACACACCTCTGGTTTAACAACTGCCATGGAGCTTTCTGGCAGGTGATGAGGCAAGAACAATGCTATTGGATTCTGGCAAACAATCTAAAGCTTTTCACCACAAATCCACTTCCCGCTTCCAAGTTTTCATCTACAAGTTATTCAAAGAAAAACTGTGCAGGTCTTATTATCCTTCCGATGAAGAACTTATTAAAAGGAACAAAATGTGTATTACAGTACTCGTCTGTCTAGACTATGCTTACTATACACATAAAATATTGTCTTAATCATTAATTAGACAAAGGAAATTTTTGACAGATATCCAAAAGAAAAACTTTCATTCTAAGATAATTTCTTGATTGCATTAAGAGATAGTATTACAGAATTCGATAACTGGACAATGACTACAACTCTGCTTCTCCATCATTACCTTGACTTTTGGTATTCATGTGTCTATACTATGTTTACTATTCAGAGACAATATATTATCCCCATTAAAATCATAAAAAGGGATTTTTTGACAAATATCGAAAAGAAAATTTATTGATTATGTAGCCAAACGACTTGAGATTATGATGGAATAAAGCAAAATGGCTCACTAAAATGTCTGCGCTTCTTTGTTATGTAGCAGCGGTCAGTCCATGCAATTTTGGACGGATTTTCACTATGGATCATTCAGAAACAGTCTCTCTGTGCTTTAGTACAGGGGTAAGACTGCGTACATGCGTACATCCGACCCCCTTACCCCACCGTAGGTGGGAGCCTTTGCGGCACTGGGGTAAATGAAAATGATGAAATGATGATGTAGCCAAACGACTTCTATATGTCTCCTAAAGTACAAAAAAAGGATGCCTCAACTGTTGTGAATCTTTCTACTCAATCACAAGATAAGAACAACATTTGAGCCAAATAAAGAGAGGGGAAGAACCGAAGAACAACAGGATTACAGGAGAGAAACTGAAGAATAATAAATCAATTATATGGACGTATTCAGAATATCTCCAAACGAAGAGGATGTAGCCTTGCAAGGTTGCAATCAATCATTTCACCGTCAATCTCAGACCACCACACCACCATTACCAACCTCCCAAGCATCAATTATCTAAAACGTTCTAATTTCATCATCCCACCCTGCCTATGCAATAGGCCTAACACGGCAGAAATATCGAGCCACCCATAACTATCCTAAACCTCAATTCCAGTTCAATTGAATAAGCTACCTATATTAAGATGACTAAGAATCGAGGACCAGGGAAATCGAAACAGAGCTGAAGAATTCAAATGCTCAATCAATTAATTAAAATATACAGGGTGAGATTAGAAATGAAAAACGCACATACCCGAAAGAGAAACTGAATCTTAGGAGGTGAGCCTGCGCAGACCGCGGGAGGGAGACGAAGAAAAGTACAAACTAGGGTTTGAGATTGTGCGGAAAAAATTTACAAAATAAATAAAATAAACAAAAATGGAAATGGGGTAAAAAATGAAAAAAGAAATCGAGAGCGGAGAATTTCGAAAAATATTTCTATAGGTTTTTCAGCCTCAGTTGTTGTAGCGCAGCCACGTGACTGTCAGATGTTCTTACCTCGATTGGTATGACGCGGTGATTTGGGCGTTTGTACTTTTGCCCGATAAACGACAGTCCTTTGTTGCGACCGCTATTACATCTATCTCTACACTCGTATATGTGATGACTTTTGATGATACTCATAAATTTTTGTCTTATAATGTGATTTCTACTCTAATTTACAAATAATAAGGTTTGTAAAAGACATTTTATTTTGTAAGCTCTCACAAAATTGATTTTCAAATAATTAAATCCATGAGGAAGAAATTCGATTCAAAATCAATTTGTGTACAAGTTTGAATAAGAGTGATGAATGAGGTTTGTTTCGGAATGACATCTTTGGAGGTGGTTGATTGGAGGAAAAATCAAGAGTTTTAATTATGTTCGTTGTTTTTCATTTTGATAACTCTTGTTTTAAGTCTTGTTCCTTTTAGTAGCATGTCCAGCGATGCTCTTAGTTTAACCTACCTGATGTGTGGTAAGTGAATTTGACGGGGTTTTAGGGGCATATCAATTCTATGTCTCACTCCATGATAGCTTTGTGTTATCATATTGTTGTCTTGTTATTCTCATCGTTATTAATAAATAAGTTTCTCCTTTCCAAAAAAACAAGGTTTATTGTTTCATTTTAAAAATAAGATTTATTGTTTCTTTCCGAGTGGAAATTCATAAAGTTCCTCGTATATTTCGCTCATCAAAAACTACTCAAAATTACAAGTCAAAACTCCACTTTTTTGTATAAATATAAACTGTTATATTTGCTGAATAGGCAAATAGCTATAATTAAGAGTATATGTTAATATGTACTCCCTCCGTTCCCAAAAATACTTCCCACTTTCCATTTTGGGCTGTTCCAAAAAATATTTCCCACTTCCCGTTTTGGACAATTTGTGTGGCTCACATTCATTTTACTTTTTTCTTACACAACCACAATCATACATTTCCACTTTATTCCACTTTCTTAATAAGCGTGTCAAGTCAAACCGGGAAGAATTTTTAGGAACGGAGGAAGTATCTTATTTTAGACGAGGCTTCTCATTTGATTAGATTTTTTGCAACAAATTATGTATCTTTGAGATCAGTTTATACTTATCTGTTTTTGTATAACTGGTACACGGATTAACTATAGATACATTATTTTTATTTGAAAAAATCAATCGTCGCCACAATTATGTATCTTTATGTTCAACTTAATCTTATACTACATCCGTTCTTTTTAGTTGCAACGATCAATCTTTCACATTTGCCAACGCACGTCTTTGACCGTAATTATATCTTAATTCTATTAGTAAAAAAATATTAAAAAGCAGATTTTGAAAATTTGTAATGAGAGAAATTAAATAAATTTTTTTAAAAAAATAATTTTCATAAAATAATAGCGTAAAATGTAGTCAAAGTAGAACATGTGAATAGTGTAAAATTCAACATGTTGCGATTAAAACGGAACGGAGATAGTATGGTTTTGTATAAGGGGTACCGGATTAACCATAAATACATTTCTTTTATTTAAAAACAACCAAATTGCCACAAATTATACCACGTATATCTTTGTCTTTCAACTTGCACTCATATGTGACTTGTGCAAACAACTTATTAGGTTCGTCCAGCACATACATATAAAAAAGCCTTATATCATAAGAGTCGCAGATATTCATCAGAACAGATATATTCAATCTGATCGTAAGTTCTACAATTAGACGTAGAGATCTGCTTTTAAATAAGCAAAATGACTCGTTAACTATAAAGTGGACAACATGAACCCTATAATGATCAATTTGTTTGATGGAGTATATGACCCAGGAACCCTGGCCCATAGACTCCTACTATTCTAATGGAGACTCAATAGGCCCAGGAAACACAGCAGACCTAAATCACAGCGCCCCGAGTACTGAGCAATCCATGTGCTAATTTACTCGTTTACCTAATAGTGTTAAAAAGCACCAACCGCATTTTAATAATAACCTTCGGAATCATTAGTCTTCTTACTTTTGCTAGAATCATCGTCCTTTTGTGTTCTTTCTTGTACTTGTAGAGAAGTGTTCCACCCCAAAAAAAAACTTTAGAGAAGTGGACATAGCTCCAAGTGTGCTAGAAAGATAGACCCAAATTCAACTTACGGGTTTATAAATACCAAGTGCTCACCCAAGACTTTTATTAAAACCTAATTCACTATTCCCAACGGATCTTTAAAATCCTCAAAGATGCAGTTCAAAAATTGAATGATTTAAAGTTAGGATCATGTAGATTTTTTTGCATTTTAAAAAAGTACCTTAGTTTTAAATATTCATATTCTGGCAAAATACTCCGTAATACTAATGTCATCGTGGACTGTGGAGCAATTTTTTACGCACTTGCACAGTTGCACATCATAGCAATTTTAAGTTTTAACCAGAAATGCCAGTAAAAATGTAAATCGAGTGAAAATTAAAGAAAATAAACAGAGACTCAGAAAATAAATAAAATGGAATAAATCATCTCCTGAGTGATTGTTATTTGCTCAATCTGCCCAGTCCAGAATTCTTTTCACTTACTGCTATCTCTGTACAGAAGCCTACGATCTGCAACCCGACCCGACTCCCCTAGAAAACCCAAAAAAGAATCGCACATGGTCAATATCAGATGTTCTTAATCATCATTAATCTCGTATTGACACTTAATGTACAATGATTAATACAAGAACCGTCTGACCGGTAGTAAGAAGCTGCTAACTGGATTAATGGAAGCAACCATCTTCATCCCCCAAAAGCAAAGCGGATCATCAATGAATCAGCAAGTGGATCCCAGTTAAGAATAACCCAACCCAATCTTTATCAACCAAACTTTGTACAAACCCGCAGAGGGGTTGGTGGGGTCCACGTCACACTCCAACACAATTGGCTCTTCTCACTCCTTCATTCCAGCCACAAAAGCGTTATCCACATCCTCAAGTGACAAACAAAAACGACAAAGGAATCTCCATAGAATCATTCCTCACGTCAGTTAACCCTTATTTCAAATCACCATTACAATTGATTAACCCCAACTATGAAGAAAAACCCACTAAACAAACAAGTGTTCTCATGAACCACCTGTGCGGCCTGCTGATAAGGGAGCAGGGAAAGGATTAAGATCTAATAATGACGGATTTGACTTATCGTTATGATGATGACCACCAAACAGTTGCTGCGACACGCGGTTAGCCAATGCCGCCTGCTTCCCATCATTTTCACATTGTGTCATCATATCCCCCCGGAAAGTTCCAGAGGCACTATTATTGTTATTATTATTGTTATTACAATTGTTGTTAGTTCCTGTTGATTGCATCCCCCTGAAGGCATCGGGGTCCCAATACGGGACGGCAGTGCTATTAACTTGCATGTAGACGGAAGACTGGTTGAAGTGAGGAAAAGGGATTGCACCTCCAGAGAGGGGTGTGGATGAACCTGAGGTGTTGTGAGGGCTTGATATCGGTGATGGTGACATCCTTCCATTGTTTAGACGTTGTTGGGGAGATCTAGGATGTAATAGAGGGCTACCAAGTGGAGAAACCGGGCAAGAGATAATATTCCTCGGGATTTGGATATCACTGCACAATAAAACAAGAAAATCGGATACAAAAATGGGTCATTGAGTGTGATAAGTAAAATGGTCAAATATGCTCTCATCCCTGCAAGTTTTTTTTTAATCCCTTGAAACCCAGTTTCCAGATTTTTCCTTATTATGAAGGTGAAGGACTAATATACCTGCATTGGAAAGCGGATTTTGAAAATACCCTCGATGAATGGATAGCAAGTCTTTCTGGTTCAAAATTAGGAATATTTCTCCTTTGAGCAATGCCCTGGAAAATAATAATTCATAAATGATACAGCAGCGAGTTTAAAATATGATACTTTAAATTCACTGACCCAGTTCACATGAAGATAACAGATAGCATCTCAATACATTAGGTTCATTTGGAGTAGGAAGGAAAATAGGGGAGAACTTTTAAAGGAAATAAAATGCGAGGGCAAGTAAAATACTTATACAAACTCAATAAAGTTATGATTCAAGTTTGTTTGAACTCTATTTATATATTTCTAAGTTATAAAGACTAAGACGTATAGCCAAGCACATTTTGGTTCGATCGCGTCACTCCGACACTCCCCAAGAATGTTAACACTTAACAGAACAAATAGATACTATATATGAGAGAAAGTGAGAGAAAGTGCAGCAAAAAAAAATTATTCATATATTTCATTATCCTTCAGATTTCATGCTGTAAAACCATACCCAAGAAAATAACTATCTTTGGCATTTTCTGGTATTCAACATACCCAAACAGATAAAAATAACTAAGATGTGTTACCAGAGGCATTGGTCGGCCATTCGTGGCGGTAAATGGAGGATCAGATTGGGATTGGGCAATAATGGGCTTTTCTGTAGCCGCAGCGTTTTTGACAAATGGATGGTCTAAAAGCTGAGAAGCAGTAGGACGGTTGAGTGGCTCACGCTGCAGACATTTCATGATAAAATCCTTGCCCTCGTCTGATATGTGCTCCGGAATTGTTGGAAGTTCTTTACTATTCCCAATCTTAAACATTGCAGCAACCTTCAAGCCACATAACATAGCACACGTTTAATAATAAGCAAAGATAAGAGCCCCATTTTGGCAAGGGTTATTTAGCTGGAATTTCTAAAAAGGAAATGTGGTTGGTAATGTCCATCTCAGTCACATAGCCAAAAGCTACTTACTCTGCTGTTAAAAGAATAAGCCATATAAAAAATGTGGGATACTAAATTAATTTGGATCATAAATTTACAAACATGGCCCCACTGTGAGTAATAAAAACAACATGGAAATGTGAAATATGTATAAGATGGCAGCATTTATTTTACTATGTTTTATTTGATTGCTAAATGGGGCCAGATAGGATGTTTTTACTTGGACTGTTTTCAGTCCCAGGCCAGACCAAACTAGACTTAAACAGACAAGACCAGACCAGACTTAAAAGATGAGACTTAAACAGACCAGACTTGACTTCCGTAGTTATAAAATACACAGAGACCAGACGTTTACCAGACCAGACGTTTACCAGACCAGACTAGACTTAAACAGACCAGACCAGACCAACAAATTACGGTCCAAGTAAAAACATCCTTAATTGAGACCATAGGCAGTACTTCTTTAGGAATAACGTTCATATCTGGCCGGCCTAACAGGAATCCCATCAGGCCAACTCTACGTTTGGCGGAAAATGAAGTTTATGGTCCATTTTTTTCATTCATTAGTATTAACTACGGAGTATTACTTTCAATTGCTAGATAGTAAAAACAATCCAAACTTAAATATGATTTTTATGACAAATTAGTATTAAATGTTAGATAAGTGTTACCAGTGAAAAAGTGGGGTTGTATGACCCACTTTCGAACAAAATTAAGATCTAATGGTTTATACTAATAGTTGATACTGATTAACCAAAAAAATTGGATCATAAACTTCACTTTTTGCCTAAATAAAAGTTGGCCTGACGGGATTCTCATCAAGCCGGCCTGGTATGAACTCTAGTCCTTCATTAGAGTTAAGCTTTGAACATAAAAATATAATTGTGCTGCAGAAGTTGTCACAGACCCCTTCATACTGGCTCCAAGGCGGTTTTGATGTGGCCATTTCTAACACTGTGCACCCAAGACTCCATATATCAACAGCGAGGTTGCAGCCATTAGAATTCTTAATAACCTCAGGAGCCATCCAATAAGGGCTTCCTTTGAAAGACAACGGACACGACTGCCCTGTAATCTGCATGTTTCGAGTATATTGCTATTAAATTATGATACTCCGTACTATACTGTCAAATTTGAGTGGGAAACAAAATCAAGTCCTTAGTGTTCACTGTTCGCAACCAATAGAAGTGATTCGCCTTACCAGGGAACACAACATGATAATTAAAAAAATGAATTCTTAATAGTTTGTATGGAACAGAAAATACAAATATATGTTCATATAAGATAGGCTCACGCTCAATGTATTTATTTTAGATATTTGTTCAAGACAATTAAGATTAAGTTGTAAAGTTGAGGCAGCACTCTTAAAACATTAATAATATATATGGTCCAGCTAAGTCTATGTGTTACTTACATGCTTTGCCATGCCAAAGTCAGCCAACTTGATGCGTCCATTTGGATCCACAAGAATATTTGCTCCTTTGATATCTCTACAACACAATTTAGGCAAAAATATAAAAAGGTAACAAGAGGACTTTACTAGCAAAGGCTTCTGAAACATTGACATCTCATCCAGCTAAAAAAGAAACTAAACAAATTAAAAATAATTTTACCTATGGAGAGTATTTTTAGCATGTAAATATGCAAGTCCAGATAAGATTTGCTGGGTATAACTACGGATTGCTGTTTCTCCAAATGGCCCATAATCTTGTAAGAGCTTATAAATGGAGCCACCAGATACGTATTCTAGATATATATACAGCTTATCACCAACCTGATACAAGGAAATATTATTGCAGAAATGTCGATAATTACTCGCGGGCTCACATGGGAATACACACACACACCTATACATATATACACATCAACACGAGCACATAAATACAAATATTATATACACACACACAAACACCACACACACATATATACACAAATATACACATATGTGCGCGCACATATGTCAAAACAGCAAAAGATCATCCTCACAAGGACTTAGGTTTGCATCATACCATAAAATGATAAAAACTTGAATGAACGTAATACACAATAAAATCCCTGCTATGGCCACTAGTCCACGAGCGTAAAACTCTAAGTCCTACAAAACTTGGAGATAACAGACACGGTAAGTGTACTACTTCTCTGTAACTAGCATCACATACAGAAAATTTAAATTATATTCAGTAATACTACTTTATTCCAATTACTTTATATTGGGGGGGTCAACAGATGTGTTATCTCCAATAATTCCAAAATTGAGAATTACAGCAAGAACCTGCCTAAACATCATCCGTGATGAGAATTAAAATGTAAACAGCTCTGTATTTACTATTACTACAGACTCTATGTAACTTGAAATCTTATTATATGGAGAATTAAGATGTATAGCAGGTAAACTAATTATTGGATTTTCAGGGTGCACACTAACCATTTCTGATCCATAATACTGTACAATATTTGGATGCCTTAACCGGCTCAGTAGTGAGATCTCCTGCAAAAATTAGGTGGATGTAAGAGCAAAAGTACAGTTGTTGAAAATTTCCTGGCATAAAAGCTTTTTGCTGTTAACTTACTTGGGCCAACTGCTTAGCACTTTCCTTGGATTTTGCATCATCAGAAAATAATGTAACCTCCTTCATAGCACACATTTCTCCATTATCACTGAGCCAAAATTTAATCATATAAGCAATCAACGGAACTGTAATAAACAGGCGAAGCGTCTATGATTACATTAAGAGGCGTCATATTTGCATCGATTTTCAAACAATTGAAAAATTAAAACCAAAATCGTGGATCTGAAATATTGATGTACATGAATACAAAATTTATTTTGTAGAAATGGTGCTCAATAGAAATTAGAAAGAAGAAGAGGAAGAAGAAGAGTATAGTTCATATGCATGTTTACCTGTTAAAACCAACATAAACATGTCCAAACGTGCCTCTACCAAGCAATTTTCCCTTTTTCCAGCGTGAACCATTGCTAGTTGAAGTCTCTGCTCTACCAGGACTTCGAGGCACCGATGGGGATGCAGCGGCTGAATTTGAGTGAGAAAAATGAGAAGAGTTGGACACTGTTAAGGGAGGAAGGGGCAATGGATGACTTTGTTGTTTCCCATCATCGGTCCAGCCGGATTGGGTCTCGGGCAAACCACCTCCGGCCCTTGGGTGTATTGGTGTGACAGCCCCACTTTGAACTCTGGAGCTAGGTCCAGGACTTCTCATTCTCGGACTAGGGTTTGGAGAATACTCTGGGCTTCCTCTACTGGGCTGCCAAAACAACTGTCCAGACATATCCCCACCCATTGAATTATGACCCGAATTCTGGCCTGAACCTGGACTTGAACAACAACCAGAACCACCAAACAAATGAAGATCAGGATAGGTCCTTCCCACAGCCAATAATGTGGAATATAGAGGTTGTTCATTGCCAGTAGCTCTTATGGGACTTCTAGATGGACTGGACATCGAACTATCTGGAGCACTCCAAAAAGCTGCACTGTGGCAAGGAACTTGAATATTAGGCACATGACTATTTAGAGGCCTCCTTTTAGGAGATGAAGATGGGACATTTCTACTAGCAGAAAGATTGACTGGCACAGCTTCCCCTCTTAAACTTATTTGCCCCATAGGGGATTGATCCTTTACATTCAAACTGCAAGAAATTCAAGAGCCTTGTCAGATTGGGTCTTCCTCAAGAAGCTCTTGAGAAAGGATATATGCTTATATATAATACGTGTGGAATACAGACATGTGTACAGCGTACATACATATAAACAAACATATGCATGCATGCATACATATTGGAGAAGGTTCTAGTGAGAACTCTTTCAATCATCACCAACAAAATCACTTACCTGTGTCCTTAATTTAAAAAGTAGGCAAGTAGCATATTTGTAAATACTAATTTTCATCAAATGATTTGATGATTTCAAGAAAAAGGTAAATACAATTTGAAAATAGACACAATTATTACTACAACTTATACATTTATCAATTTTAAAAAATATAAGCACTAAATACTCTTAAAGGGCTCATTAATTAATTTGCATCGTGCGGGCACACATTTGAAAATCATAAAAATAGGTAGAACCAGAAGATCAACATATCATCATATACAAGGTAGAGTCATAATATTGTAATATAGAGAGAGTGACAAATGATGGTATAATGTACTTATGTTCCTACTTATATGTATTCATTGACGATATCACGTGGTTTAAACCAATGTGTTGGATTGATAAGCTAGTCAGAACTTATATTTGACCTAAAATGCGCTCATTTAAAACAACGTGTTGGAGACAAATGATTGTATATTGTACTCTCTATGTTCATATTTATATTTTTTAAGTGTGCATAGATTTCAAAAAAGGGTAGACAAAAGCGGCAAGCAGATTAGGACATTAGAGCAATTTATATCCTTTCTTTTAATGCATTCCTTCATTTGCTGACCTGGATGGGCTACCAGTGGCAGTTTTACTCCCAAATTCATAATCAGAAGCCAGCGGACTATGCAGACGTGAGTCGGTCAAATCATCACTCTCAACAGAGCATCCACTTGACATAGACGCAACAGCCAATTCTCCGTCTGCATCTGCAGGATCCAATCTCCCTCTGATGCATGCAGGCCTGGGTAGAGGCCGAAAAAGGGATGCCTTTGATCCCTTCTCCAGTTTTGGCTTTGTTCTTGATGAGCTGATGATTCCAGAGTCTGTGCGGACAACCCTTGCAGAATGAAGGCCTGGAAGAGGAAGTGGTTGTGCTACTGGCCGCTCAGCAAAGCTTTGACATCTTTGTACATTTTTGGAAGGTGATGTTGATCTTGATACTGTGGTATCACTACGCCTTTGAGATCCACCGGGCTTAATGGAACACTTACTGTCAGATGTGCTTTTAAACTTTCTCTGTAGTGTGTCAATGAAACTTTCTTTGTTCACTTTCTTCCTTGTTTCCTTGGATGACTTTGACCACCATGAAGGCATGTTTCTTCTTGGAACTATAAAATTATCAGAGAATATGTTTAAAAGACAAAATATAAGTATCTACCGATCAATAATAATGCAGTTTGCTTTGACAATTATCCCGCCCAAACTAACTATGAAAACAGTTATATATGTAAGTGACTAAGTGTAGGCTCTTCCGTAAAGAAGCAGTAATGTTGATTTAGCCTGAAGTATCCCAAATTTGTATAATTTGCATAATTGCTAGTCTTTGGTTGTTTCGAAAAATGTACAACAGGAAGTGGGAGTTGTGGACAGAATTATCCCAGGACCACCTGGGATAACTATTCCAGTCTGAAAATGATGACGTCACTGTGACATCATCTGTTCGTGCTTAAAGTTAATCTGCAGAATTTTGGCTCTCCGCCGTAGGAAGGCAACACTGCCAGCATATTGGATGGTCATTAAATTACAGCTTATTACAAGTCCTTAATTTAGAAAACTAATCATAGTTTAAATGAAAGAACAGATAAAGAACGAACCTCAAGAACACCCTCTAACTTTCTAAGCTTGATCTATTCACTTCTGATAAGATAAAGTAAGATATGTAGGAACAAACAAAACAAGATGAGATAAAATAAGAAGACAGTTGGTAAAAATCGACTAACCTCAGGACATTAGACGAACGGCGTGGTGTAGACTGCGTCCGACCTAAGGGGGAGAGGAGCTGGAAACGGAGAGAGCAATCTAGCGTACGACCGTCTGGCTGAGAGACGCGCAGTAGAGAGAGATGGTAGATCGGATGAATTGGACCGGATCAAATACTTTGGGCCAATAACGGTAAATCATCTAATTTGGTAGATTTTATATCAAGTATTGTATTTTTAGTACTCATTTGGTAACATTGAAATCGGTTAAATGATTTGAATCTGTTTAACTAACAAAAACTTAGTTGAACCGGTTGACTTCCCTATTTTTCTGATTTGTGGAAATATCATATTTATAATATTTTTAATGATAAACAAAAAAAATATATGAAAATAACTATAGTAATCTTCTACAATAATTTCGATCAATTAAAGTATAAGAGTAACTTTTTTGAATGGAAAACTGCTTATATTGAAATTAATAAATCATTACAATAGACTCGAGATAATTCCAACCCAGGATCAGAAACCCAATGATCAAACTTAGACTTTGTCACCCACAGATGAGCCGCAAAAATCGCTGACTATGTAATGAACAAATGAAAGCTTAATTTGATCATGTCGATCTCTATGCTTCTAACCTGGTATGGAAACCCTATAATATCTCTAAAAAATTTAAAACAAACGAACAAAAAGTAATAAAAAGGGCATAAATAAGTAAAATTGTAAATACGGTTGAATGTAGACATCCTTGTCCAATTTTTGTAGCCGTAGCGCCCTCACCTTATTCCAGAACATCTGTAGATATGTTGCGCTCAACAGAACATCCATGTATTTTATTCCAATCTGAAATGCACCAGTTCGATAAAAATATAGAATCACTCTTCCAATCAATATTGGTGGTGGTTCAAGAGGGGGCGAGCCACCGATAACGCCATGACGATTTGAGAAAAAAGATGACTTCTGAGAAAAGTATACTTACGCTTGGCAGAATGACTTCAATAGCAATTAAACAACAATATAGCATCATGAAGCATCTCGCGTTGCTAATTTGAACAAAAATCACTCATAAAGTGACTATCATAATTGACATGATAATAACAACCTTAGACACACTAGGGAACAAAACACCGCTCAGACGAGTACCAAATCACCTTTTACACATTGTTTAAGCAGAAATGGAGATGAGAACTAACATTCTTATAAGATGGGTGAATAGAGCAACTCGGGTCTTTCACCCATGCTCTCCATCCATATGCCAAAGTTAATTCACAGATATAAAAGTAACTTAAAACTCACTTATATTGATCAACATATAATTGAGTGCCCAACATTTCTTGATTTTACACCATAGATTAATCTAAAATGACTCATAAAACTGATACGTTGAAAATATTAATTACCTAACAGACTCTTAATATACAGCTTTAAGCTGTAAAGTAAATGTTTAAATTAAAAATAAAATTTTAAAATTAATTGTTTTGAAACTCATAAAGTAATCTAAAATTTAAGAATTTAACCTACATGTAAAATTCACTCGCATCAATATGTATTGCAATATTTAAAGAAATTTTATAAATTGTTTTCACTGCAATTTATCATTTTATATATATCATATTTTATTAATCTTACATTTTAGTATAACTGTCAATTTCTTGCCTTAATTGGTGTTTACAAAAATGGTGTATTAGAGGTATTCATTTGTTTGAATTTAAAAACAAAAAGATTTATAATTGAGTTTCAGTGCTATTTAGAAAAATCGAAATATGTGAAAATAAAAGAAATAATTATATATTTATGATTAAAATAAAGTTTCTTTACAAAAATGTGAATAGAGTAGTAATGAAATCATAATAACTTATGTTCAATTTTTAAACTGAAGTTATCATGACACTACATTGTAATAATTAATAGTCATATTCGTGTAAATAAGTTTTATTGTAGTAATATTTGAAAAAAACTAAAGTGTTAAAGGAAATTACTTGTAGTGTGCTGTCATTATAGATAGAATATTCACTAATATATTATGTAATGAGCTAATGGGCCCGAGAAGCCCAACCCTTGTGTAAACTTAATTCTCCTCTATTTAAAGAGGGTCTACCTATTGGAATAACACACCTCTCTCACTTCCCTACAACACGTTATCAGCATGTAACCCTAAATTTTTCCACGCCTCCCTCCTCCAAATTGCCGCAGCAGTCCGCACGCCTTCCTCCTCCAAATTGACGCATCAGTCCGCAGCCTCCCTCCTCCAAATCGCTGCAGCAGTCTAACCAGCCGTCCAGCCAAGCCGCAGCACCACCTCTGTCCGCCTACGGTCAATTTCCGATTACTATCCATCGAGGTAAAATCCATCCCCGATTGAAATTTTAATTTCAAACTATATAATCCTATTGTTGTTGATCTTAATTCGATCGTTGATGCAATTTTTTATTATAATTCCGTAATGCTATATGATATAATCATATAGTTGGAATCAATATCACATTATGCATCCTTCTTCCTTTTTATTGTACATTCATGTGATCATATTTTTCCGTAAAGCTATATGCCATATACATATAGTTGGAATCAAAGAACACACGAATTAACCATATTTTACTTTTACTTTATATGATTATATTCTCCGTAAAGCTATATGTTAAATACATATAGTTGGAATTAAAATCATATTATGCAATTTTTTTACTTTTACTTTATATGATTATACTCTCCGTAAAGCTATATGTTAAATACATATAGTTGGAATTAAGATCATATTATACATTTTTATTTATTTATTTATTTTATACATATTATGTGGTTATATTTTTCCGTAATGCTATATGTCACTTACATATAGTTGGAACCGTAATCACGTAAGATTACTCTTTTCACTATTTAATATATGTTTAATATTCCTTTCCATCTATATTAATATTATTTCCCCATATGCGTATGTTTAATTAATATGCAAAGAATATATTAACATATATATGCCAAGAATCTAAAAATGAAAAGTGCGAATCTTCTTTCAAAATTTATTAACATATAAAAATATCCTTCTAAATATATCATAATACTAAATAATCATGAAATCAATTTTTCCATTCTATTTAGAAAACCGCCACCTTTAAATCAATATATATGACAAATCTTGACTTTACTATTCCATTTTTTTATGCACATTTATTATTCATAACATACAATTGACACATGCATACACCCACACGCATAATAAAATGTTACGTGTGTATATATATGGTTGACTCATGTACATGCCTTTTCTTTATACTTCTAGACTATATTTTCATGTCAATTTTTTTTAAACTTGCCATTTGTTCACACCAATAAAATTATTTAACGAAATATGAAGCAAATTTATATATATATTCATTTTTTTTAGAAAATTCAATCTCATTCCCGAAATTAATAATAAAAAAAAACGAAAAAAAAAACTTCAATTTTTGGTAATCCGCATATACGAAGCATTTTTTTCAATATATGCATATTAAATTACTACTATGTTATTAAATTCGTTTTTACAAATTAATTTTGGATAAATAAAATTCGATAATTAATTATTTTTTATAATTCGAAGTTTGTTTAAAAAAATCGAATTTTTTGTCAAAATATACTATTTAAGTTCGAAAAAAAATGATAATTAAATTCGTTTTCAAGATCCATTTTTTATATAATTAAAATATATGGCAAAATATATTTTCAATAATTCAACAATATAAATAATATTACTAAAAGGATTATTAAATTCGTTCTTTTTTTTATCAAAAAAAAATGAGATATACCTAATCCATTCATTAGACCAATATTAATATTTTATATATTAAACACACCATATAACATCCTAAAAAAAACCTCTATGATTTGTTTTTAAGGAGATAAATATATATCTCCTCCAGTGGCGGACCCAGAAAGTCAGAGTCACGGGGTCCCTACCCTTTTATATCTCTAATCTCTATTTAATACAAGTATAAAACTAATAAAAATTTGATCCAATTCTTCATTTACTAATGACGAATCATTTGAATTAACACCTGAACTATTCCCGGTACTCTAGGTTTCTTTAAATTTGGGTACAACATCAAAATATCTTTTCATCCTAAATCGTACTCCTTTCGTTCCTATTATAACTTCCAACTTTCCTTTTTCGTCCACTTTCTCTCTCCTTTGCACAACTCTCCACCACACAATACCCACTATCTTAAACTGTGTGCCAAACCTATTTGGAAGTTATAATAAGAACCGAGGGAGTATAAAATTCAAAATAACATTTATAAGAACATGAATTTATTAATTTAATCTCACACTAAAAAAAGATATGCAAAGAAAAGCAGCAGAGAAAAAAACTGGGCGACTGATGTGCTTATATTTTACACACTTTTTAGGCCTAGTTTGTTGATAATTTTAGTTATTAAAGTTGTACTTTTGTACATATTTTTATTATTTGTCGTTAATTTATATTAGTGCAGTCCTATGCGTGTATTTTGTATTTCTTGGTACATTTGATGTTATTTAGATACATTTAGCGTAAAGAAATGAAGAAAATAAAACTTCAAAGTTAGAGGATAATAAAAGTGAAATTTCCTTCAAAGAAAATGGGAGTAAATTGGAGAAAAGTAGCAAAATTTAAGAAAAAAGGAGTTGGGATTCGAACTCTAGTTGTTGGGACAAAGAAAGACATACTCAACCAATGAGCTAAATGAACCAAGTTGAAGTTTTTGTTGGAAATTCGTATAGATTGTTTAATCCCAGCACTGAAAAAATGAATAAAAGGAAAACGTCAAGTTTTGAACCCGCGACATCATATTTGAAATAAGTACCCATCACCACTAGACTGATTCATTCTTACGCTCCTAATGTCAATTTTTGTGTTAATATATATTAAATAATTAATTTTATATAATGTATATATAATATATATAGGTATTTTTTTCGAGGTGCACGGGGTCCCAGGACCCCGTGGGACCCTTAGTGAGTCCGCCACTGATCTCCTCTCGTCGATGCATTATACAAAATATTGTCTGCAAAGAGACATACCACATGACATTGTTTTTATGTGATAAAGAATTTTCACACAAAGAATCGCATTTTTTTTCATTTTTTTAGCGATAAATGGTAGTGAATGACACTCATACAAATTTATATTTTAAGATGACTGATCCAACTC